AAAATTGGAGTAGAAATATCCAAAGAAGCAATGGGTTTTAAAAATATTGTGTTTATAAGTTGTTAAATATTATAAAAATACTGTGTAGGGGCTATAGCCACTATTACTGTAGAACAACTAAGCCAGCTTTGCTTTGACCTGAACTGTTTTTCTGCTCATGCCAAACGGGCCACAATTTCAGTAGATGACGTTTTGTTATGCGCCAGAAAAAGTGAAGATTTAGTAACTCATCTTAAAAAATATATAATTGACGTGGAAGAAGACCAAGGAAAGAAAAATAACAAGAAACGTATAAAAAAAGTACTTAATGAAAACCAAGAGATTTATAGCAGTGGTCCTCAGGAAAAGTGAAAATTAGACTGATATTTGTCCCGAATTTTTCTTTTAAATTTAAAAAGTTACTATAAAATTAGTGTTAATTAGTTTTCTTACTAATATTTTGAGTTTTATTTCTTAAAAAATGGCCAGTTTTCTTTATTTTTAAATAAGACAAAACCCATCAAATGTAGAAATGTAATAAAAACTCTTATGAGGGGTTTTTATTATTAGAATGACTCTATTTTTTTTTTTTTAAAGTAAATAAAAATTATTTTAACTTTGTTGTATGTAATAATATTTTGCTTTTTAAACGTTAGACTTTGGAGCCGCTTTGAGTTACTTCCCCTTTAAAAAACTTACAGGTTTCCACTTTAAGGACACATTTAATTAAAACAAAGACTTCATTTGAAATTGAAACAAATTAGAAAAAAACTAATTAAACAGCCTTTACGATGCCTTTACGGCTAAAAGTTGATTTTTAAAGAGACATAAAAAACTGAAAAAAGTTTTCATAAAACAAACTTTTTAATCTATACAGAAGCGTAAAATTAGTAACTTTATATGTAACAGTAGATTAAAAACACACCCTCAACTCGGTTATTCTCCAAAATATTTAAAGAATTTTAGTCTATTACAATTTATTCCATTTAAAAGATATTTGGTTATAATATTGGGAGAAAGATCTGGCTTACGTTCTATCAACTTGTCATTAAAAATAGCTGACTTGTCTTAAAGTACCTTCATTAAAAGGTGTCAAATCTGTCTACTCTTCTACTTGCTTCCTTTTTTTTTATGTTTTCTCTGATAAGTTATAAAACTTCAATCTATTAGCGGAGTTGGCAGCTAAAAAGTTTAAAAACAAAAAATTGTTTCACAGCCTCACTGTTGCGAACAGAGACGCGAAGCCTACCCTCCCTAGTGGTAGAGGGTTACATTCAACTTTGCTTTTTAACCTTAACCGCAAGAAAAAGTTTGTTCACAAGAACAAGTTTTTGGCGTAATACCTAGATGTTGAGTTAGCCTAAGCTGACCTATACTTCACCTACTCAAGGATAATGCTATAAGGAATTATCTTAAAAGCTGAAAAGTACCAGCCTAGGTTACTGCAGGTGTTGGAATATGCTCAAGCTATGTAACTAGCTCCCAACTTCGTAGAAATCTGGAATTGCCGTTATGTATCTACATATGAAGGTTCGAGCTTAAAGTTTGGAAGAACTACAATTTTTCAGTTTTACTGTTAAGTACGTATATTCTACTTGATAAGGCAACTAGATTAGACCCCTATCAACTCCTAATAATTTAGATTAAAGCAGTAGAAAATTTATATTCATTATTCAGAATGAATCTATGAATAAATTTAGCCTTCGTTTAAAATATTCTACAGTTAGCGGTTTTTTTGAAGTAAATGAGTAGTAAATGAGATTCAGGAAGAGTGTATTATACTTTTAATCGCACTCTCTATGTTTTCTTATTACTACTTTTATAGTCTAACCCTTCATGATGGGAGAAAGTTTCTGAGCCCGTCGGGTTCTTTTTAATAACTTTATTATCCTTTCTTTTAAACACTAAACTTAGATTAATTAGATTTAAGGTGAGACTCCTGATAGAGATTTCTCTTTTTTATCCATAATTACAATTATATCAATAAAATAAGAAACATGCAAGAATTATTCGCCTGAATAAATCGGAAAATTTATTATTTAATGGCAGCTTTTGGTAGACACGAGAGAATTAATGATCACCTTATTTTTGCAGATTTAATAGTTCATGAACAGCAATATTATATTCTTTGCACATTGTAAGTACAACGGACCCGAGTGCCCCTTCCAACGTTATTAGGAAGGGTACAGATTTAGGATTTTTTATCTAATATAAGCATGAAAAGGTGGCCGGAAAAGATCTGTCTTATACGAATGCGTGTCTGCTTGTTTTATTATTGTCTTGGCAAAGGACATATTCTAAGACCTCAGGTAACAGCTTGTAGCTGTTCTCTCTGGTAACGCAAGAATCTTCAGCCTCGGTAGTTAATCCTCTATATTTCTAGGCGCCATTAGTTGGATCTCCTTTGGTTATGGATAATATGTTCGATTAAAGCTTGGAACCACCTTTGACACTATACCGACAAACTATGATTATGGTTCCTTCTTTTGTTTTAGCTCTATTTTGAGGACCGCCTTGTACTACGATAGTTATATGTAATAATGCAGGTTTGAAAGTACTGCTTTTCAAAATGTTAAAAAGTGGTAGTTTAAGTGCTTTGGTAGGTGTTATCTTCCCCACGTTGGTTAGCGCTTTGATATTGTCATTCATATGACTGAACTCGTTGTAACTAATAATAGGCTTCTGTAAGGGCGCCTCTTGTCCTCACACATGGAGCGTAAGAGACCCCCGAGGTAACGGTAATGTGTGGAGTAGGCACTGGCAGAGTTGATTGACTTTGATTGTTGGTGGGCTGACTTCTGCAGACAGTATATGCAGCCGTGATAATTAACTATATGCGCCTCGTTACAACTCGCACATGTTGCAGAGATTTCAAGTGCTTTTGTAGATAGGGTTGTCAAGTGGCCCTCGCCGCATCAGAAGTACAGTGGGGCTGCGCAAAAAAATCTCCAAAGGTCTGGTAAGGTGTACTAGCTAACATCTGTCTTAATTTAATTTGAAAAGGGGATACTCTTCAGTTCCAACAGCTTTTGTCATTAATGGAAAGAGGTGCTTCCCATGTGAACCATTAACAGTGCCCTTCCTTAGGCATTCGTGCTACTTGAGGGGTATGATGCCTAAAGCGTGCGGGGTCTGTCCCGATGGTGGAAATGTTAACCCACTACGGCATCGCCAGATCTCGGATGAACCCAGAGTATATTTTCTGTTCTAAATATGTTTTGACATATCCACCTATATATTTTTTATATGGTTTTAGAAGGTTTACTTGACATTTACTGCCACTTAAATTATTGAAATCTTTAAAATTCACCATAATTTTTATAGGTCTCCAATAGGACCCGATATTATGGTTAAGACCTACATTCTACCATTATAGGGTTAAGTTCTCAATAATACAGCGATAACAAATTTAGATGGCTTGTCTTCAGGTAGCTGTAGGTATAATGTTGTAACTCCTCGCACTGATCGCAATGAATAGAGCGATATTCTTCAGCTGTCGTGAAATATTTTAAATATAAATGGATAGGGAATCTTCGCGCCGATGGTTTACATAAGTTGTACAAAAAGGGGCCAGTTTTGTTTACACAAAGGATAATGGGTGGGATTTTCTCTAAACGAGTTCGCAGGGAGGCTACCACGATAAGTGGTCGTTCGTTAATAGTAGGGTCTGGCACTGCCCACCTCTGTGTACGACGTCGTGTAAAGTTCTTGGTTAGGGCTATCATTTTTATTACAAGTATAACTACCAATGTTAAATTTACGACTACATATATTGTTATTTTTTTATAACTGTTGTTGTTACCAAGATTACTACTTCTTTTATTAAGAATATTAACTACCGTGAACAGCTCGTCTCTAGTAATTTCATAGTTTAACTCTCTTCTAGATCACTTTGTAAACATATGGTTGATCTAAAATCTGTAAGGCTGAATATACGTTATTACTGTTAGTTATGTAATCAAAAGACCCCTTTCACCTTTTAGACTTATTTTTATAATAAGTGGCTTAAGTACCTTAAATTTTGCAGGAAGAACAAGTTAAATCTTAATAGAAAGCCTCTTTACATAAATACATATAAGGGTTTAAACTGACAGTTGCATCTTCTGCTTGAATCCCCTACGAGAGACTTAAATAGGGTATAAACTCTACAAAATAATCATCTTCGGTTGTATCCTCACTCCGTGATTCTTGGTTTTCAAGAACCCCTTACGCCTGCACTGAGAATTAAAAGATGGTTTCACACGGAATAAATCACAAACGGAAAAGGCTACGGACGACCCAGCAAAGCGACCCCTATAGATTTTCTACGTTATCAACCTACAACTCTGTTTTACACCAAATAAATAAGAGTTGAAATCTGCTGAACTTACCCATTGGCGTTAATAAACGAAATACTAGTATTAATCCCTTCTTTTCTGCTACTACTCCCACTAGTAACTAAAATAGTTACAATACTAAATATTTTGAAGGTCATAAAGACCGAGTAGTAAGGAGTTATAACTTTACTGTAGCACGTTAACATATTTAAAAAAATTATAATTTCCTAACTCTGTACTATACTTTTTTAAATTAAAAAAATCCCCTTGGCTTAAATACATATATTTTGTTGATGGGACATTACGCTAAAACGTAGATCTTGCAAATGCTAGCCAAGCTCGATAACTTTCTACTGCCCAAATTATCAATGTCTATGTTCACGTTCTCTTTAAGGATAACCAATCACAAAGTTAGTTGGTCTAGATCAGCTACTGTGTTTCACATCTTAATCCTTATCTATCTTTAATTTAAAGTTTGCTGCGTCCAGAGATTCCAGAGCTGACGCAGAAAATTTAGCAGCAAAAACATTAGGCGAACAACAAGAACATTTGCTTCTCTCATTGCACCGTGGTGTTCTATCACAAAAAGTTTTACAAATAGCCGGCCTATTAAGTATTAAAGGCTTCGAAATGATTCTCACTCTGCAATCTTTTAAAAAACTGAGCACTATGCATTATTTATTTTAGAATATGCTGGTGTGCGGCAGTGAAAGCAACAAGTCAATAAAGTATAACGCCACATAAGCACGCAAGAAACAAATTCCTTATTTCAGCGTAGATGGGCTATTACTACTAACTAAGGCAAAGCTTTTTCGCCTTTCAAGGGATTTACACAAGATCGGATTTTTAAGTGGCTGTAACTGCAAAGGGAGTTTTTTCTAATATAATAATATAAGATGATGAAGATAATAACGTAAATTTAACTTAACCAGAGGCCGAACTTTCACATTGAAACTTAAAATCGTCGATATCCGATTCGATTTCAGGAACTTTCATATTTAGAACTTTTAAAATTAGATATTACTATCTTTTATATATAAATTCTTGTTATTTACAAAATTAAAAAATAATAATAAATAGAGAGATGAATTGAAGAGAACAATAAACTAAAGAGCTAGAGTTACGCTTACCTTTGTTCAAAAAAAGTTCGATTTTCTTTAAAGAAACGTTAGCTAAAATAGTCCTTCCGTACACACCCGGCTTAACACTAAAAGTTCTATTATAAATTAGTAAAAGGTATTTAATTAAAGTAAAAAAAAGTCAAATTGGTATAAGCAAAAGTAAACAAATAACACTTCCAACTCTCATAACAACTTCTTAACTAATATACTCTCGTTACTATTTTAACTTTAAAAGTATTACTCTTACAAAACTTTTTCTGGTTGCTCAAAAAAAGAAACAAGCTCCGACGACGAGATAACAAATACATAATAAAAAGAGACCAAGCAAATCACTATTAATGAGAAATACATAAAATTATAACCAATAATAACTTCAAAACAGAGACAAACAAACCAAGAGAGTGTTACAGTACAAGGAAATCACTAACTTTTTTGATAAAAATACGCTAAGCAGTCAGAAAACGGTTTATTCAATTTTATATCATATAAAATAACCAAATTCCCTTTATATTATTTAAAAAGCTCTTCTTACATAACTTTTCTATATATTTTTAAATAAAAATATAATAAGTATTGTTAACTTTGCTGCTTTGTGTTGAAGTATTAAAAATAATAAATTTCTCAATCCCTATAGCTAATTTATTTTGTAAAAAAAGATCTTACTCAATGCCTTCAAAGTTGACGCCTGGACTAAACGATAGTTCGACGGAGTAACGATCAGGATCCCCTTCTGGAACCTGAAACGGAAAGTGAAACGATAAATAATATAAAAACTCATTAGCATGCATGAGTAAAAAACCAAGCAACCTCTCTATAACAAAAAGTCAGTGGCTCTGCGCAAAACACGATAAATATATATATATATCTAAAAACTAAAATTAAAACTAATTCAGAACAGTGGCGCCGAATTTAGTTAAAAAGTAAACTAGTTTGCTAAAAACAAAAATCGATTAGGAAACAAAAAAGTATGAACCGAGTAATGTTCATATAGCAAAAAGATGAACTGCGAGAGAAAGTTGATTTCCTTAACACTTTCTAAGTACTTTTGGCTTTTCTCATCAAATATATGGTCATGATTTTTCTATGACATAAAGTATATAACGGCCGGGAGATGAAAAAAGAGTAATGACATCGAATTCGGTATATCGGAAGACGTTGACAAGTGAGTGGATGTGCGATTCGCTGGTAAAGTAGAAGCGAGTGCGAACCATGCGCTGCGAACTCCGGATGCCTAGCAGAAACTAGAGTTAGTATATCCTGTTACTGCAGTTAATAGGGAGAAGAGCACCGAAGGCGCGAGCGTGTCGGCTGTCCAGTCGGTGCACAGTCTCCAACGTCTTAATCAGCTCGGAACTACGCCAATACGTTGTACGACTGTATAATATATGCTCATTGAAATACCGCACCTCTGTTGGTAAGACTCGCTGGAAAAAGCTAAGTCCAAAAGAATCTTTTTAATAAGATTCCTCGCCACTACAAAGTGCCCTTAACCATCGTGGAACTTTAAAGGATAAAGGGTCTCATTGGGACCTTTTGTGCCAATAGCTAACTTCTCTTCTCTAGTGATGCCGTACTCCTGAGGCACAATGTAGTCGGCCACGAAGCCGCACAGGCGATAGAGCTCTGCTCACGCAAAATTCGCATTACTCGTAAGTACGGTTAACTACAAGTTGACGGACGTGCCTGGCAACTTATCTAGATGTAGTTTGGCATGGTTGTGCAGTAAGTCGTACTTTGCGCAGTCGTGTATGTCTGGAATCTTGCTGCATGTACAGCTTGTAGTCGCTCCTTACTAGGTTAGGCTATACGCTTTACCTGATATCAAACTTCTTCTTACGTTTGTTGTAAAAATCCCTCTCGAGTTTTTCCCAACGCCTTAAGAGTTGAGTGATGGTCTCCCCATGGAAGATAGTGTCCTGGTGGCAGGAAGCGCAAGCGAACTCTACGTCGCTAATGGAGTTAGCGCAGCACACTCGGATCAGCATGTGCTTCTGTACTTTTCAGCTGGGAAGTGACAAGCTGCAGTAAACCATAAAGCTGTTCAAAAGTGTGAATGGGGTTTCCAAGCTCATTGATCGCATTAACAAGAGATTCGGCGCACGTGGGGACAGCCGTTTCGAGATGGCCCTGCGCCACCAGTAGTAACACCCGCCAATGCGGTGAGACAGCGGATGGAAACCCTCAAATCTTCGTCTCTTGAGAGTATTTTCCGCAAGCGCACCTTCACGGAGTCCAGATCGCGCGAAGCATCCGAGACATCATCCAGCAGCCCCGCATCCTAACCAGTCGCGTAGTGATTGGCGGGTGGCAGGAACAAGAAAGGGCGGGGAGGGGGACTCACTTTACGGCACAAATTCACAAGAATAGGCGTTAAGTTACCCTCCAATTGAAGGAAGCCTTTCGTGAAGGCAGCAGCCGTCTAGATAAAAAAAAGTTTTCTAGTGCCCAACAGAGGGAGATATTATTTAGTAACCAGTTGCACGCGCCCCTCTTCGGAACAGAATATCTTCAAGTTATGGCGGAATGTGCTGTGAAGGCGCAGAAGCCCATCGCTTTCCCCTGGAAAAGATGAAACAACCAATCAAATAAAGGGCGGTTCCCATGCAGACAATACCCGGATACAATTCGCTCCTTAACCGTTCGCTCAAATCTTGCGCTTGCTGACAGCCTATAGACAAAGACAAAAGCGTTAGTGGGCGAGGTTGCACCGGCCAATTGCACACCAAGGTCCGTTAGTTCGCCGCCCCACTTCAGGATAAGAAGAGCCTCTCTGACTTTCCCCTGCCTCGCTTCCATCTCCTTTCCGTAGCTAAGCAGCCAATCAAATAAGCCGTGAAACAATCTCTAACCACACATTAGGCCCCTGCTCGAGGCTGCTTTACAATGAGTTTCTGGTCCATTTTAATGGCTTGAGCTGTATTTTTCTGTAGATGCCACCGAAATGGCTGCCTCTTTCCAGTATGAACTTCACTTGCATTAACTTGTCCATGCTGGACACAGCAATTAGCACAGGAACTCAAGCAAGCAGAGAACATGAAGCCACCGATCCTCAAAGTCGCTTTCGCCCTCGCCGCTACCAGAAAGGAGTTCTCGCGCAATATTAAGAAGCCTGCCGAACAACAGGAAACTTTTGTATTCTATTGGCGCTCCTTTTATGGCGGACGACCTCTGCAGTTCGGAGGCGGACTTCATCTTGAGTTCCTTTCGGGGATCCTTTCCGTCAAACAGTGAAAGAAACAGCTCGCTGCGGACAACCTGGAGAAGTTCAGCATTAATGTGGCGGGGAGCGCACCAGACAAAGACTAACCATCTTTAGTTTCTGCTTCGGCGTCCTATCGCCATGCCGGAATACACCTGTCCGCCAATCATGGGTAACCAAACTCTGCGATGGGAGGGGCAGGGAGCTACCAATGACACACCGAAGCTCTTTGTGGTCTTCTGGTAAGTCGTCCTCGAGCTTCTGCATGTCTTCCTCCGAGACGCAGGAAGGCTCGCCGGACTTGAGGAGTCTTCCCCATGGTCGACCAATAGTATGAGGGGGGAGACACACCGGCATAAACGGCAGGTAAACCGGATCGGTGCGAAGCGTCGTAGGATAGTTTCCCGCAAGATGTGCGAGGCGTCGTCGTAGTATCTGGGCGGGCACAGAACCAATAGAGCCCAGTGTGATGGGCCAGCTATGTACATGACTACTTCTGGTTGCCTTTCACAAAAGACCAGCCGTTCACATCGCAAACAAAACTTTCTCCGTTCGCTCTCAGAAGATCAAAGCCGCACACGCCCTGCTTGAAGGCTCTGTTGACCTTGTTGAATACTATCAACCAGAATAAGTAAAACAGTGAAGATAGAATAAAACTTGTTGCGAAATCCATTTCTCTTGCTTAGTTAACATCACCGGATAGCGGATCTGAGTGAGCAAATGAGTAACAATTTTGAGAAGAAAAGGAAAATAGTGAAACCTCTTTTCCTTCACCGTCCCTCTGAACCCGCCCGTCAACGGCGGGGGACTTTCTTGCTTCGGCGTGGGCGTAGTTTTCTCCGCAGGAATACACCTGGAAAATTGAGCATTCACGGGATTCAAGGAGAAGGCAAGAAGGCAAAGGACTTTCACGTCTGTCCCTTCCGTCGCAAGAAATTCTTCATACAAATAAGAGCGGTCCTTTCCTTGTGATTAGTGTTGGAAAAATTAGATAATTGATTGGCGCACACAGCACGATCTTTTATGCGAATTATTTATAATAGGAACAGGTTTAGTTTATATAAGGCATAGTTTCAGTTATTTTATAATTTGGACACTTTGGAACACGCGGTGTGTCAGGAATAGCTACAAATCCTATCAAGATCTTAGCTATTAATAAAAAGAACTTATTGTAGTTCGAGTAGGAAAAAATTCGCTGCTTTTGTTGCCGACTTTTCTAAACAATTGCGTGCAGCCACCACCAGCACTTCGCGGATAATAGATGCAGATATAATGATCCTGTAAAGTTAATAAAAAAGTTAGCACAAGGAAAAAAAACATATATAGGGTAGTCTTCGATGTGAATAAAGTAAAGTTCAAAAATAAATTCGAGTCGAAGAATATTAATAAACGTTAAAAGAATCAGCAAACAAGGAGGCTTCAAATTAATACGGAATAACTTAAATTTCACTTATTAGTTAAATTGTTTTATGTAAAGATTTATTAAACTTAAGAAAAGTTTAGTTCTTTAACTAATAATAATAACATTTAATATTTAATATCTTTGTCCAATAAACGAGTTAACAGTACTTAACTTTATATTAACTTATAATTTAAATAAGTTAGCGATCAATTATAGAAGCGTTATTATGTCATATACTTCAGCGTCAACAGGCTTTTCAACAAACGGTTTATTAAAGCGTTCCCCGTTAATAATAACAGCGTCATCCTCTTCGAGTGTTGCGCTTAGTGGTTTGCCTGTTCATACAAAAGTTCCAAATATCGAACGAAAAGAGGATTTCTTGGAATGTTTATAGGACCTCTTTCTCTCCAAACCACAGCAAATCGGGGAATCTATCAAAACATAAACTTTAAATAAGTAAGAAAAATTTATACAAATCAATACGGGAACGCCAGCTTTTTTTAAAACTTCATAGACTTTGGTCCGGTCGAATAAACTATTAAAACGTAAATAAATTGGTGCACTTACAATTGAAGTATTACAAAAATATATTCTTACATTTTCTGTGCTTCAAGATCGTTTATGAGAAATGGTTTACGCAAGTTGACATATTGTATTGCTTTATCCAAAGGAAACCCGCCAGAGGTAAAGGAAATGAGGGCCTCACATATTGGCCACTCCACAAAAATTAAGAAAAACAAGCTTATCTTACAAAGAAAGAGAAAAAACACCTCTTCGGGTGGTCGATCTATAATACAACTATCGCCAAAAACAATTATGTCAAAATCTTCTGAAGCAATTAACCGTTTTATCACCTCATTCATGGCCTTCGAGTTCACCTTAAAATGATATTAAAGTATTTAATTAATGCTCAAATTATACCTTAAATACCTTTTTATCCATGGCGCAAATTCCTAGTTTTACCCGAGCTTCCGGTGTTCTATCAATATACATACTTAAACGCAAAAATAATATTTCTCTGGGTTTTAATTTCTTACCGCCTTAAGTAAAGATGAAGTCGGTGAAGTGTAGAAGAAAACATCGCTTCCTCAAGAAACAAGAAGTTAACTAAATATTTTTACTTAACTGAAAGATAACACAATGACTATGTATGTCTTGCAAAGGAATTACGGATATATTTTTGGTATAAGCATTTGAACCGGGTGTAGCGCAATGCGAATTAGTGGCTAATAAATTTACCTTTTTTACAAGGCACTTATCACACAACCAATACTCAAATTTCTAAAAAGACAAGGTTTTTCTTTAGATACCCCTTTGTTTGTTTAAAGTTTAACCAATAGCTGTAACATCAGTCGTAATCAAAGTTAACACGGCAGCTATTGATATTTTATATGCACACATACAGTCAAGTTTCCATATGAACACCCCATTTAAACCACTTCACACCGGGCAGCCTACGTTAAGTGTTCGGCATAACTGTTCTATCCGTCTTTAAAAGAGCTATGGGATTAATCCATAAATAACTAAACTCTAATTCCAGACAAGTTCTCCTTGTCCCTTTAAATGCTGCTGGCCGTTAGCTTCTTCTTCCCTCTGTAACTTCTGGTTTTGTAATTGAGTAGCATCCTATTATTCCTCATTTCTGCTTAATTTTTATTATGAAATAATAGTAGGGGAGGAAGTTTACATACATCTTATAAAAGCTTAATAAATAATGAGATAATCAGGTTTTCCAACATACCTTTACTCTGTTGACACAATTTTTTTCAAGTTTACAGAGTTGTTTTTAACTTTTAACCGTTTCGATGTGTTTTTGTTTGGACTTGGCAGACGTCCAGTTTTTGGCTTGGTGGAAAAAGTAAAATCTTTTGAAAATGTTCTTTGTACAGAGATCTCGGTACTATATATTTGCAGGTCGAAGTTACTGTAAAATTTACAGAACGTAAAAAACCCAAAAATCAGTGTTCTCTTTTAAACTTCTGGTTAGTTAAATCGTCTACTTAGTATGTGGGAAAATGTTTAAAATTGCACTTCTTAATCGTTGAATTTAGTTGTCACTATATAGTAACTATTGTAAAATAGAAATTTAAACACTGTGTTCCGAGATGTAAGTTTCAGTAAAGGTAGTTATTTTAGTTTAATTCCCCCGTTTTAAATTAATAATTATAGATGTCTTAGCAAGTGAAATATCCCGACCCTAGGATTATTTTAAAAGTACATAGACAGAAGAAGTTTAAACTATAATTAAACTTTTACTTTATGCTCACAAAATTGTCAGTACGAGCAAAGTTAGCTTTCCACCGAAAAATATTATCTAATAATGTTCTAAACCGCAACAACAGTACTGATTAGATGGTTCCAGACCTACTAATAGTTATTTAAAACCCGAAGAAAAGGTAGAAAGTTCAAATCCACTACCGTTAGTGCCACTTAAAACCACAGGTTGAGGTATTGAAACGCCTACCACTTTACTATCCTTTTACTGTTTTAAAAGCTGTTAAGGTTAACGAATGTTCCCTTCAAATAATCGTTTATAAACAAGCTATATAAATCTATTATAATTAAACCTATCTACACATATCACTGCCAAACCCCTCCGAAAACCATAAGCAAACCCATGAAAGTTACTAACTATAGAGAACCATGATATACACAAGGTCAGTTTTGTTGCAGTCGTAAGAGAAGACGGCATCAAGGATTTAACAAAATTGAGATGACAACAAAGAAGAATGAAGGAAACTGTGTGAATGAGGGATGACTTGGTCAAAACTATGAAAAATTTCCAGACTTGTAGTAAAATAATATTTCATCTGCCCAATCTTTCTAGTAAAATTCATCACTCTTTTCGAAAATAAATTCTTTTTTAATTGTCTCGCTTCCTTCTTCCTTTCTCTCAAATTATTCTCCATAAACTTATTAGGCTAATACAACTTGCAACTTTTTACCAATGTTCCTTCCCAGTAAAATATCAAACTAGTTGGGAAGTTCGTACCGTACTACAATAAAAACAAGTTAATTATTTAGTAAAAATGAAAAATTGATGGAAATTTAAAAACAAATTCCTCTGCTGCAATATATACTTTTTATATATATTTCCTCTGGTTTAAACTTAATTTTTTCATAGTTTAAGTAGCGACGCACATTTAAGAAACTACACTTTTTATATACTTAACCACGGCCTACCTAAATCTCCCGTTTCCTATTTCTAGTTCATTTTAATTTTAAAAAATGGATCTTTTTTTTTTGCAATGCGTCTCGGGTTTGTAATGTTACCGAAATTTTGATTCACAAATTTAAAGTTTTAAGAACTTATATATCATAGAAAAATATGTTTAAAAAATTTCAGTAAACTTTACAAAATTTATTTGATAGCTTTACAACCACTTGAGATGCAAAAGACCAAACTCTTTTGAACAAAAAAAAACAAAGCAGGGTATACAGGATGCGAAAAAGAGCATTAAAGAGTAGCTTTCTTCCCTCCGCGCTTGTCCATTAGATGAATATTTTAAAGGAGAGGTAAGAGAAAAAGGATGCGCAGAGAAAATTAAATAATAAAACTGACCAAAATTTTTTTTTATGATTATTGCAAGACTGAATTCATTTATAGTATTACTAACTAAACAAGGTTTACAAAAAGTATATTCCAAAACTAAACCAGCTGCATGTGTAGTCACATCAAATATTATCTATTTGTTTGTAATACCATTATACAATCAGAACTGTTGGCCCGTTATTAAAGCTACGCAAACTTTTTATTGCTTTACGTTTGATTAATAACGGAATTGGAAAACTTTTACTTTTTCTTTACTCAGTAACAACTTTAAATGTTATTTTAATAACTATTAATATTCTAGTTGCATCACTTGTTCGAGAAAGGAGGGGCTTGTGGCCAGCTACTAACTCCAGAAAAATATGACTGTTGACCCTTTTGTGCAAGAGTGCCCTCCAAGCCGCGTGACAGCGGATAGGAAGAAGGAGCCGCAGAAAACAGCAGCGGTGGGCGATTGAAGGAAGCGTGGGCAGGTCGTTGCGATGGAGAGCAAGAGAGAGGAGACTGGGAAAAGGCAGTTGGCTGAACAAGAGGGGGTAACTGGATCGGTGCTGCACGAACGGGGCTGTTATAGGTTGGCAGAGGCAAGGGCGGATGGGAAGCTCCAAGCATGAAAGACAAAGGTGAGAGTTGGCTTTGGTCGGGGCTTTGTCCATACGAGAGGCTAGGGTCAGGAGGCCAAGTAGCATACAGCGGGGCTTGGCCTGTGGGTCGCTGGGGCGGAAAGGCGGGCGGATATAGTTGTGGAGACTGCTGAGGTGAAAAACTGGTCACAGGACTGGGGAGGATATGCCCTGCAGCGAGCTGCTCGGGAACATGCTCACTGCTGAAGCCACCAGCATAAATTCTTTGTTCGGGCGCTTTAAAAACGTTTTCCTTCGACGTCGCTGCAGACGTTGTCACGGTGGTCGCCTCACCGCTGGATGCCTCCACGCTTGCCTTGGCGGCTGCCTCCACTGAGTGCTTTCGTTTAGCAAGGTCGCGAGAGAGGCTGGTGTAAAAGTAAACCAGGATTAGTCCCGTCCCCCTAATTCGAGAACAGACAGCGAGGTACCGGGATGCTCCCCGCTTCTCCTTCGCCTGCTCTCGCAACTTTTCCGGCGCTATGCATCCTGAAAAGCGAAAAGTTATCATCGATCCAACGGAGGGGCAGGCCAATAGCGCTCAGTACCGATTTTATGACAGATGATGGTGACCAGAAATTTGCCACGTGTGCTGTCGCGGGAGAGCGTTTGAAGGCAGTGTGGCATGTACTTCCGACTAAGGTCGAGGCCCATCACATAAAAATCTAAAGCAGAGGTTATGGGAAGCACAAGGGAGCTGGCGGCGGACGGATACCTCTGAAAATTGGGTCGCAGTTTCCAACAACAAGAGCCTTCCTTTCTTTAAGTAGTTTCTCGCACAAATTACTAGAGAAAGTACGGAACGCCCGCACAAAACTGAAACCGAGCAGAGTTAAAAGTATACCTGTACTCTCTCTCATTGCTTTTATTTAGCGGTTCAAGCCAGCTGGCATATATTTTCTAAAAGGGCAAAAAGATATGAACAGTCGAGCTAATTCAGGCATTAGATAAAAGTACTCTGGAGCCTCTCTTCACACAGATATCCTCGATCTCCTCTTTTAAATACGAAAGACACTTCCGCTCTGCAAGACTTCCCGCTTAATATGAATATATTCATGAATATCGGTTCCCTTAAACAAGCGTATCATAAAAATATATTCGAAAAACAATTTTTCTTGCATAAAAACTTCAATGATAAAACACACGGAGCATACCAATAGTAAGTGTCTCGGGCAGCAGAGCAAAGACAGACTTTTATATAATAATAAACCAAAAAAAAACAGATGTAAATAGTAATAATAAGTACGTCCAGCTCTTCACTGTCAGCAGTCGGAAGCATTCGAATCGTGAAAAGAGTAGAATCACCGACCTTAAGGGTGCCATCCCAAGTTTTATCGCTCGCCTCAAGCTAATAATAATAATAATAATAATAATAATAGGTATAGTAATAATAACAATCAATAGTAACATCGAGCCGAATCCCTTCTTCAACTTTGGGAGATAAAAGGATGCTCGGATCGATATCGTCTTCCTCCAGTTTTATAGGGGAGGCGCAAGCCCCCGACTGGTCCCTCAGCAGGCCTTAAATTCATGTAGGAGCGCAACAGTAACTTGGAATAAGCTAGCGGCGTACTACCGGACGATTGGCTCTGAGAGGGACGTGAATTGGACACAGGAGCAATGTCTGGTGGTTTTGCAGACGGCGCTGCTTCCCCTACTGTATGACTGGTGCAACGATAAGAGCCGAGCATGTGGGTATGGTTATAGAGAGAGCACCTGACCACCACGATCCGCTCGCCCTTGTGATCCTTCTTGATGTAGGATTGCGGTTCCCGTACAAACGTCTGGGAGTAAAAAAAAAAGTAGACTAGATAATGCAAAAATTTCACCACAAGACTTTCTTTTAGAAGCCTTGTTTTGAATTAAAATAAAGTAATAGCGTAACTTTAAACAACGTTTAGATAACTATACTCACAAATGATAATAAACAGAGCAACTTGTAGTATAAAGTAGTTATCATATAATATAAAACAAATTTCGCGATGTTAATAAGGATAACAGTAGGTAACGGACACTCTCAAAGTGCTTTTTCTTGATCTTTGCTTCCATTTCTGCCATCTCCGTCTGAAATCCGTCAGCTTTCATAGTGGCCAGCTTACTTAGAGGGACTTGCCCCTCTAATAAGCGTCTTATTTTTTAAACAATAGGTTAAACAGTTAGATTTAAAATTCTATCTGTATAAAAAGATTCTATTTATTCTACTTGTAAGTTTTCTTAGTGAACCTAAAGTTGATAATGTAAAAAGTAAAAAAAAACTCTAAACAATATTAGCAATTACAACATTCTGCATTTTTTTTTAAAAAAAAGGTTACCGTAAAATATTTGAAACATTTGATACACACCTAATCAGGTAAACGACACAAAAGATAACCAAATTTTAAGGTCATGGAAAGTTTAAAAGAAAAAAAAATTACACTGCAAAGGATAACTCCTTATCTCGAATTGAATTTAAAATGAGAGAAAGTTGTGTTTTATAGGCTTTTTCCGTGTTACGAAAATGCTGAAACAGAACTTTTTCAATTTCACGAGCAAAGTAGCCAAATTTCGCATCTAAAAATATATTTTAGTAAATGACTAGAAAAATGGGTCAAAGCTATTAAAAAAATTCATTTATGTTGTATAAAAAAGATTAACCTCTGTCTTTATTATCATCAGGATTTTGGTCTCCTTTGGAAATCCTTTGATCTAATAAGTATAAAGAATTAGCTAAGAACTTTTAAAAATTGTAGAAATTGCATTAAAATACCGAGGCAGTGATAGATTTTGTTTATAAAGTTAAAACGTTGTTGTTGTTCGTCAGTGGAGGATTTCATCTCAATCTTAACTTTTTCATTTAAACTTTTATTACTACTATATAACTTACTACAACTATTACCATAATTATTATTGTTGTCAAAGTTATCATCATTATGAAAATAATTAATATTAGAATCTTGATCAGCAGTGGAAATAGGATTAGTAACGTTAGAGTTATTAGTCGATGTGTTAGTATTAGAAGAGTCGCACAATTCGGCTTGGCCTTTAGAATTATTGTTATTCAAGCTTTCAATATAATAGTCGATATTATCTAAATAAAATTCATTGTCATGAACTTCAGAATTATTTAAATCGAAACGATAATAGAAATTCCCAGAGTTTGTTTTCAGCGAACCACTATGAGTATTCGAGGAACTAGTATGCCAACGAGAAGTAGAAACTTCTATAAACCAATAAGGATACATTGTATATGAAACATAGCTTTACAATAATAGTAAATTTAACATAAAAAACAATCACTTTAAAAAATATAGTTATTTATAAATACAATGAATACTTACCGCTGGAGGAAGGATCTCCTGAGGAAGATAGCTCACATAAACTATCTTTTTCAGGAACATCGGACTTATTACTGCTCATAAGACTTTAACTGAACGTTAACAAAGTTTGATATATAGGAACTACAATTCAGATTAATTACTATTAAGTACAACTCTTTCATTAACTCTGAACTATTTAACATTCTCAATCATTACTTATCCATTTGTCATCCCCGCCTCGCAAAAGTGTACAGCTAATTTTTCGTTACTTCAAAGTAATGCACGTTTCTAACCCTTGCTTCAATGACTAAATTACCCTCGACAGGCAGACTCTCCATTTAATAGCAAATTAAAAAACCAAATACAGCGTAAACTAAATAAAATTATTCTCATTATAAAAAGTACGTGAAGAAAGACAAATGAACTTTTAAAGTTAATTAGGTAAACAATCGTTGCTTCCGTCCGGTATCTTTTTAACTTGGAGAACACTTTGGATTGAAAAATAGTATTGAGTAAAACTATAATCCTACTAAAGTATATCATCATAGTCAAAAGGAAAACTTCTCCATCGTACTTCTTCAAGACTGTTCCTCGATAAAAGAACTCGTTTTTTTTTAAATTTTTTCGAGAAAAGATCTATTTTAGATTCGATTTAGACTGAAAAGCAATAAATGCTGGTATTTATCGCAATGAGTATCTTTATATACTACTAATTCCATCGTACATGCAACACGATATACTACTAGTATTTTGACCAGATTTGGCCAAAGTGCGTTATGTTGCAGGCACTCAAACTTTGCTAGCGACAACTGATGTGTTTAGTGTTGCAAGTACAATGTAATTACTCGTACATAAAGACATTTATTGCCATAAATACCAACATTTATTTCTTTGCAATCTAATTTGAATCTAAAATAAACCTCTCCTGGAAAAATTTAAAACAAAACGAGCGCTTTCTTCAACGAACAACCTTTAAGCAGTACGATGGAGTATCAATATTAATGTCATAAAGATTCCTCATTTAATACAGTGAGATACTTTAGTTGGGTTACAAACTTAGTCAATGCTATTTTTTTCCAACCCAAAATGTTGCAGTAAGTAAAAATTAACTTCTTCTATATTGCGTGTCTTCTTTTCTATTATAATTGTATGGACGTTCTTTGTCTTTCTTAAACCGTTACTGCGTTCTTTAAGGTTCGACAGCTCTGTCGTCTTGTCCTGGCCACGATAACATTTGTATTTGTATTACCGTAGTCTATCAATAACATCTCTTAATTAGTTAAGTTTTCCTTAGAATAGTCAGCTGCCTACTACTGATCCTTAACTGTTAGCTATTAATTCCTATATGAATTTAGTATTTCTTAATTGATCTGTTATTACACGTTTTGCAGTCCTGTAGCCTAAAACAATAACAGTTGATAATTATACTGCTTTCTCTAAAACTATAGAAGAGGTAACTTTGTAGCATAATGAAATAAGAAGGTAGCAGAACAAGAAAAAATAACGCTTCTATTTATTATTTTTCTTAATAAATTTGCGTGTGCTCGATATCTTCAAGTGCAGACTTCTTTAATTTTTATTTACAACGCAAGTCAAGTCTTCAAAATTAGGTTGTAACTAGACTAAATTTGAGTTTACATAGGGCTTAGGTATGTCTATCCAGGGTATGTAAAGAAATTCCTGTGCTCAAAAAAGGTCTGGATGCACCCCTTCACGATGGTAGAAGCGATAGCTACGCGATTGTTGTTGTGAGCAAAGTGAATCGCGATAATCAGCAGCCGTAGCAGTTTATTTTGCTTGCAGTACAGTCACATTGAAGGCCTGTTGAATGCCCAGTCAAGTGAAGCGTATGACATTAAAGGGTCATACGTTTATTACATATAAGCACATTCTTGGTGAGTCAAGACATTGCTCTTCGCGCACAGATTGAAATATAGATGATTTCACTGGCAAAACTTAGGGGTATTAAAAAAGCAAAAAAATCAAAATGCCAAATCTATGACAGCTTTATATACTTTTTATTAGTTTGTTATTCGCTATATACCCATAATTCACTCTTTTCTTCTTTGTGTACTTTTTAGCGGTTAAAATCATTTATCGACCAAGAGACCTTGAAGAAGTCAGTTAACACCAGTTGTTCCTTTTGACCAATAATTCTCGAGAAATTTTGACTAAAAAACACTATTTTATTAACTCCCCCCGGATAGCTTATACAGTTTTTAAAGCAGTTACGCACAAAGCGCCTGCATTGCTGCCTTGATATTCGTCCCAAAGTATGCCCCGTTTTGCCGTCACGACAGCTTTTTTTCATTATGACCTGCTTGAGGCTGTAAGAGGATTGCGCAATGCTCTTTCTTGTTCGTTACTGCGTTGGTTTTTACGCCCCACCCTTGGCTCCAGATAGCAAGCGTTTATAAGGAAAATCGCCAGTGCTGACATATTAGATTTAATTTTTCGACAAAGGGTGATGCTGGGTGGTGATGTAAAATGGATGTGCGTGTATTGGTTTGCAGGGTCCGGCTGACCTATATAAATAACGCAAACAGCGGTGGAGACAATAGAAAACCCCTGCAGATTATTTTATACATAAAGATGGAACATTCGAGTTTAAACAGTAGTTTTTAAAATAAAATTAACACGAATTAGCTGACTCAAAATTTTTAACGGCTAATCTTAACTGTAGAGTTTAAAAAAAGCTCATTTTTTACTTGGCGCTACGTGTGGAGCATACCCATGTCTACTCCTAGCAGCTCAGTCACATTTACAATCTTGGGGCTTATAAGCCACTCAGAGAGAGTCCGGAGATCGGCTTAGTCATATTAAGTGTTCCTGTATTATATCGGATGAGGTAAAGGTTTTCATTTTTAAAGTAATGACTCGTTGTCTTAAGCTACAATGTGCAGTTACAATTTGCTTAATATCTTTACATTATTCTTTTTTAATGCTTCATTGGCTAATATTCATTATCTAATTTTTATTAAGCAACCTTAGGCAATCAAAAACACCTTTAACTATTACAAATTAAGTTAAAATAAAATTATAGTGATGGTTTATAAAGTTGTTAATTTGAGTTCTACATGCATATCTCCTCAGTTTGTGTCCTTTGATCCACTATAATTATCTAATTCTATTGGATGGTGAAGACTGGTACCAAATTAAGTAAAATCTTTGTAATCTTATGGTGGAATATTTAGCTCTGCACAGACAATTAAAAAAAATGAAAATTTAACTAAATGAAAACTTTTAATTACTATGTTAGACTTTACTTAATACCTCTTGTTTTTAGCTCAGTAGCTCCTCCTCTTGGTGAGATAAAGTGTAAATTGTTATTATTTTAAGTACTGCTTTTTTTCTAAGATTAACGTTAAATTTATATTATAGCGTCTTTTAAAAAGGGAGATCATATTAAACGTAAAGAGGTAATTTTTATTTCCTTCTGTTAGCTACATATTAATAAAGTTTAAGCCTTATTTCTTAATTTTATTTTTTGTTAATCAAAAATTATAGAAAGCAAACCACGTTAATGAAAGCTTAATAAATGAGAAAAATCCAAAAAATATTCAGTTGGAGAGCCTAGTTATCCTTGAGCAGAGAGAGACAAAGGAAGAAAGCAAAAAGTTTGATATTTGGATTAATGAATTTAAAAGTTTAAAAATGGTAACAATTCTTTTATTTTTACTGCTTATATAAATATTAATTGTAAGAACTAAAAATAATAAACGCATTAAATAAACTTAAACTTACAGTTTGCTATAATCTAACCCTTCCCTTTGACTTAGTGTGTATATTGAAAAATTCTACCAGACTTTCTTTAATTTAGCTTTTTAAACTCCTCTATAGAACTTGTATAATAAGGTTGAAGCTAAGCTTAAAAACTTAACTGAATTAAGGAACAAGGTGGTTTCACCCAGGAGAGGACTTAATATTACGTTGCATAATAACAGCCCCATTAGTTTCACTATAAAAGATTTTTTAATACTGGAAGAAAACACACTATTAAAAGAAGTACTCAAACATCAAGTAGGAACTAGAAATTTAAATAATTTCTTGTGGTCAACAGAAAAATTAATGCGTTTCAAACTTCACGAATTAAATTTAACAGAAATTCTGCTGGTAAGTAGGCTTGGGCTTATTACCCAAAAATTTTGTAATTAGCAACATTATTCGTGAAGGATCAACTGTTAAAGAATTTTCTGCAACCATGCTTAACTAAAGGCTTAGAACAACTTAAAAGATCCGCAAGGAATATATATATATATATTTGGCAATTATTATTATATTTGCTTTGAAAACAGGGCAATCCAAAAGCATCATTTAAAATTAAATAAGTTAGTAAGGGAAATTGAAGGCGCACAAAAGTCCGGTATATTTGATATAACAATAATAGCATACATCTTTCTTAGAATAGCATTGCCTTAATTATACTCAGTTATTTTATTCACCAAAATATTTAAACTGTATTATTTTAGAAAAATATAAGTTGAAAGGTGCTATGAAAGATATTGAGGAGACAGTAGATGCTGTTGAAAAAAATCTTAACAAAAAAGACAAATTTATTGAAGTTCAAAATGAGGAGAATACAGAATTTGACACGGTAAATAGTTATATAATAAAATTTATTATTAAATGTCAATTTCGGCTTTTTGTTAAGGTGGCTAAATTTACCGATATTGAAAGTGAGAGCAGCGGTAATATGGAGGATGAAAAGGTTTATTCGTTAATTACTATAATTATTGCAAAGGGGTTAAAAAACTATGGTAAATCTTTGCAGAAGGCTAACTCATTCCTTGCATTATATTCTCATTTTAGCTCACCCATCTCTTGGATTCTGAAAATAATGAATACGTTTTAACGAAAGCTCGAAGTTCAATTGGTTATTACGAGGACCCTCTGCTTCTACAGGATATAGCAACAATGGTATACACTTTCTTTCTCTTCCAGCTTACTTAAGGAATAAGCTTGCTAAGTAACAAAACCGAGATATTTTAATGGTCTAGCAGGCTTAGGAATCGTATATGGTCTATCCAAACTAAAAAGCAGCTTAACAGGTATTTAAGTTAAGAGGGAAGGTAAAATTGTGTTGAGCGATTCCTATATTGATAAAGTTATCTTTGTAGATTAGCGATTAACAAGTTAATTTTAGGTTTTTTGTTATACCTTACTATTTTTACGTAAGACTTAACCATTCTTTTAATAAATATATAGTGTTAAAAAAACCAAAAAATAGGACATTATCCCGCTCTTTTTAACAAGAGAAATTGTGGTTTTTCGGTGTAGCATTGATTTTAATTATTAATCAATCTAACCTTAAAAAAATTCCATAAAGTTATATAGCTTAACTAAAATTTTACACTAATCAACTAGTTAACTCGCAAACTTCTTAAATTTATTTTGTTACCAACTAAGAAATGTCTTCTAGACGCTCAGCATCCGTAAGGCGCTTCATTAAATAAGGCGACCTCGCCATTAATAGTAGCCGGTAGTTCGATAACCTATTAATAATAATGTAAAAAGGGTCCTCAAGCAAGTAAATTTGGAATAATTAATATTTTTTATAGGTAAGCTACTCATTTTTTTTCGGGTTAATATTTGAATTGCTTGGAATGCCATCTTTCTTTGGTTACGTCCTCGGAGGGGTCGTAGTCGGTCCTTCCGGTTTTGATAAATTACAGGCATTTATTTAAATCTAGCAGTCAGTTTCCATGGATTTATTTTATATTAATGGTCAGAATATGGTGCAGGTGGAAACCCTCGCCCAGTTCGGCCTATTTTTCATTTTATTCATTTTAGGGTTAGAATTTAACTTTGAAAAAGTAAAAAATAATTTTACAATTTCATTAGCAGGTTATATTATATTTCACTTTAAAAGATCTTTTAATAAAGTTTTGTCGCCATGCATATAGGAACGCTTTTAGTAGGGCTTTTTACAACACTTGGAACTGTATTTATAGTGAAAGCTATAGGAGAAAGTTTTTCCGCGGGCTCCTTAACTGGTTTCATAACTTCATTTGCTCTTCTAGTTTCTATTTATTGCAATTTAAAACCAAATGGTTAAACATAAAGGCTGTTGTTGCTTCCTCTCAAGCACCGTAGTTGCCTTGAAAATGCTTACTAATGAAGAGGTTTTCGTTTACTAAATGTAACACACTACAATGTTTTGTATAACCACAAATTTTTTTATTTAATTATGTTAGAAAGAGAAAAGTTACGGGCAAGTTATGCTAAACATGTTGGTTATACAAGATATTTTGTTTGGTTTAGTTATTACTGTGCTTCCATTGCTTCGTACGGGCATAACTCCTATTGATATAATGAAACAGGTTCAGCTCGTACAAAATTTTACAATTAATTTAAAAATGAGCTTATTCCATGTCATGTGACGTAGCTCTTTACAAAGCTGTGCTGCTTCTTGTTTTTCTGCTTTCTATACTATGCGCTTTTGCGATACGTAGCAATTTTTTTGCTTAGATGGTCTTCAGGTAACCTTGATATATTTCATCCTTCTTTTAGAGTTGAACTCTAACAAGGCCTGCCTGATATTCAAGGCAGTAACGAGCTTTTTACACTTTGTGCAATCTCATTTTGCATGATAACCTACGTGATTGCAAATCAATTGGGTCTATCTGTAGAAATGGGCTGTTTCATTTCTGGTGTCAGTGTCAGTCACAATGATCACTACGCTCAAGTGTGTAATCATATTTCTAATTTTTTTTTTAAGAATAAGTTTGCTGGTAAAACATTAATTAACAAATAAGTTCCCTTCGTGTAGAAAGCAATTAAACTTCTGGAGCCGCTACGCGAATTGTTTGGATGTTTGTTCTTTGGGACAATTGGTTTACACATCTACCCCTTATTTCTTTTAAGACAATGGAGGAAAGTTACTTTATAAAAAGGATTCTGCTTTTAAAATCATTATAATAATAAAATCAACAGACTACTGCTGTTCTTATCAGCAATCGTTATTTTGTTGAAAACATTTGTCGGATTTGTGGTGTTACACAAAATTTTCAACTTTAGTAGAAGCATTTCTGCTCTCACCGCCTTTGGGTTGTCTCAGATTTCGGAGTTTTCCTTTGTTATTGCCAGGTAAAAAATAATTTAATGTAACCCCTATAATTATTTTTTAACACAAAGTTTATAATTATAACGAAAGCCGAGGATGGCGGATAGGTATAATTTCCAAGGAGGACTACTTCATCTTGCTAGGTAATGTAAATCGGAACAGTAACCTGTAACTACCAGTTGGATAAAATGTCTCTAGGTGTAACAACTCTCACCCTTATCTTTGTGCCCGTGCTATTTAAAACCAGCAAACGGTTTTTTTTTCTTTAAAACTCTCCTGTGTTATCAAAGTTGAATTAAATTACTTTTCGCGCAATTACTTTACTGATAATTGTTATTTCAATACCCCAAAGAGTGGATGCCCACCTTAAGGAAACATAAAATCATTAAATAAGATATCAACGACTAAAAATAATAAGATTTTTGTAAAAAAAAACCACTTTTAAAGAAAATTGTAAAACAATATATAGCAAAAAAAAATAGCCAGCTTCGTCAATACAAGTATAACATTCTTTACAGTGCTTTACAACAGTACTCCATTTTATTTTTTTTTAATTTTTTAAAAATTTAAAGGAAAAAAGATGATCCACAAAAATAAAATAATAGTTCAAACTTTCTAAAGTAAATGGTTTTAAGAGGCTTGCTGAAGGGCATAAAGTAAACATAGCTTTCGAATACTAAGTGACGAGGAAGGCAATCTTGAGTTACTAAAAATTTAACATTATTAACACCTTTTGCGAGAATTAAAGGATTTCTTGTGTTCATTCTGAACGGAACAAATTTATAAAGTAGGTAACTAAGTATATAAGATTAAACTAACTTATAAGAATTAAGCCAGAGTAAAAGACTGCGATTTATTCAAACGTCAAATGCGAAAGATTTATAAAGAGAACACCTACAATTCCTAAAAACAGGTTAACACCTATACTTAAGCTTTATTAATTCTATGCAAACCCCTTTTAGTAGAGGCATAAAGTATAAGATCCTCAAAGAGTATAGCAGTAAGACATAATTCTTTACATATATACAGAGAGAAAGATGATATTAGTTAGCAGGAAAAAATTAAGCAATTTTTTTAAGTAGAAATTTACTATAGTGAAAGGTGCTAATAAATAAAAACGATAGTGGGAGTCAATAGGCTATTATATACTTTAATTCCTACTTAGCCCTGTTTATAATGATTTATTAGTATATTGTTATAAATTGGAAATAGTTAAGCGCAATTAGTAAAACAACGACATCGCAAGACGTACTTCTCGCATAACCTTCGCAAAATAAAAATAAATTTATATATCACTGGTTAAAAGTAGAATAAGAAATATGCCTGCTAAATTTTAAACTTAATCTAAGACTAACTTCGCCGGAGATATTACGAAATTTTAAGGTGGGAGATACATTTTGACTTAGAAGATGGTAAAGCGCCGAACAAAAGAGAACAAACTAAACCAAATAACGAAAACTTTATGTGAAATTGATAGTATTTTATGTAAAACCCCTAGAAAACCTTAAAAATAAGTCAAGGTACAGTTATCTAGGCATATTAAATAATTATAACAAATATAACACCATCAAAAGATATATTAAATTATAAATTAAAATAATAATCCAAAAGAATACAAAGTTATAATGTAATAAGTAGAAAATGTTAACTTAAGACAACAAAAATACCCACTAATAACCCTTAACCCTAAAAGTGCATGAAGCCTGCAATATTAACAAATGAGTGTAAAGAAGACCTAATGAGTGAATTGCACTGTTAAAAGGCTATAAAAATTTTCACTTCACATCTTTATAACGTCGGAGGACTGCTTTTATCTGTACTTGTCCTGTTGAAGAATTAAAAGATGGACTTTCAAAATCGTGTTGGCAATAAGTTCGGTAGCGGTATGATCGGCTATGAAGAGGCCAATGTAGACCGCCGTGAACGTCTACGTAAACTTGCCATGGAAACTATAGATCTAACGAAGGCCTCTTTATAAATTCTCGTGTACAACCATGAAATTATTATATTTTTTAGGATCCCTATTTTTTTAGAAATCATATTGGCTCTTATGAATGTAAATTGTGTCTCACATTGCACAATAATGAAGGCAGTTATTTTGTTCACACCCAAGGAAAAAAACATCAAGAGTACTTGCGCAGAAGAGCCGCGAAAGGTTGTAATTGATAATCTGAGGGCGTATAATATTGTTAATACAAATTTTTACTTATTAAAAGAGGCTAAAGACGCAATTCCTCTACCACAGTTGAGCCAACCTCGAGTTCAATTTAAAAAGTTTGCCAAGATTGGACGCCCAGGTATTTTTTTTATTAATATTTATGATAATACTAGTACAATATATTTTTTACTAAAAGGTTACAAAGTAATCAAAGAAAAAAATCCAGTTACTCAACAGCACGCTCTACTTTTTCAAGTATTATTGCTTTATAATCACTTTTAAGCCAAGTATCTAAGAAATCTTATATTATATATGTATATATATATGCGTACATAAAAAACTAACTGTTTTAAATATAGCTACTTATATATAAGTGTACTTTTTAGAGTTTTTTTACTTGTTATATTTTAAATAAATAAATATATTATAAAGTCATTTGTAGCAAAAATTTACTTTATTAACTTTGATTTTAAGATTGACTACCCGGAAATAGCTGAAGGGATTCGCCCGAGGCACCGATTCATGTCTGCCTACGAACAAAGGAATGAAGCTCCTGATAAGGTTTGTCCTTTGCACGGAGCAAATTATTATTATTACCATTAACATTTAGAACTGGCAATACCTCCTCTTTGCTGCTGAGCCGTATGAAACGATTGCCTTTAAAATACCCAGTCGGGAAGTTGATGAATCGGAGGGTTTCTTTACTTTGTTTACAAGCCTTCATATTTATTTATAATATGCTTTCGTTAATTAACTGGAAGGGAAGTTTTTTTATGAGTGGAATGCAGAGACAAAACAGTTCTTTATACAAGTCCCTTTTAGAACATCTACAGGAAGCAACGCTCTTCCGCTCTACGCCCCAAATGCCGTGCCTATGCGGACGATTCCCCCCGAGAATCCCCTTAATCCGTACGCACCCATCAACGTTTAGTTTCGGCATTTCGTTACTTTTTTTTTTTGCGCGGTGATTGCAAAATAAAGCACGTCGTAGTTTTGTTCGACACTATTTGTGGATGTTCTTATAATAAAAGTGCTTTCTTAATCTTTTTCTGCTTGCTATCATAGTTTGACTGGGTTTGTTAAGATTTTTAGGGTATCTAAAACTACATTTTGCTAATTTTTTTTTATTAACCTCGTTATAATGTGGTCAATATTTTGGCGTTTTCTAGTGAAAAAGTGGTGTGCCTTTAACCTCACTTCATATAGTGAAATCTTCTTATATACCCCGGCAACTATGAACTAACAAAACGTAGATTTAAGTACTGACTCCCTAAAGTATAGGGTTAAGAGGATTTTTTGCCGAAGAATTAATTTCATCTTAGTAAATCTATGTAAAGAACGGAAACAATTTTTAAAAAAGTCTAAACAAAATACTCTTATGTGATGTTTATATTCGGCTTCATGAGCTACGCTCCGCCTGCTTGGGCCTTCGATGCGACGTAAACTGTGGCAGCACTACAATCCAGGAAATTCTGAGACCGTGCGCCGTGATTTATAAGAAACTACACTCCTTAATATTTCGCAACTAGTATAATTTTTCGAAGCTCAGTCATCGCTACTTTTAAAAACTGGCGGGGGTGCGCCCAACCACCGATGGGCGCGGACGATGAACTTATTGCGTGTTCTTTTCTTTTTGTTTTCAATAAATGTGAGCTTACTTATTGTAGGCTAGACTTTAAATATGATAACCGTCAAGCTTAGGTTAAGCTGTCTTCGTTTAAGGATATTAGGCGAAAATCAATATAATCAATTCTATTTCTCACATTATTTGGTTGCCTTCGTACCGTTCTTTAAAACTTGCCTTCAGTAGGTTTTTAAGCCTTCAACTTTGGTCTATTTAAAGTTTGAATCTGTCCTTAGCCTCAACCTATTGTTTAGCTCTCTTCTCATCTATACTGAATTCTTATTAACCTGTTTATTCTAAGCCCTATTTACTTTACTCCACTTATTCTGTTAGCACATTCCTTGGTGCTAATACGTTGACCTACTCCAGGTCTACAAAAAGTTGGGCATACGTTTTAAATGTGTCGAAAATTAAGGTTACTTTTAAAGCTTTTTACCGTAGGAATTAAGATTCTAGGTAAATAGAATTTCAGGTTTTAGTATTTAAAGGATTATCACATATCTGATTATTGTCTAATATTAAAGAGGGGTCCTGTAATTTTTTTAACAAAAATTAAGCCGCTCTTGCTTTTCGCTAGGGCGGCTTGCGGCAATCTACATACCCAAAGGTTATTTTAAAGAAGTTAAATGAAAACTTTACTTGTAAAGTAAAATAAATAGAAGAATGTAAGGTTTCGGTAGTATTTAAAACCTTCGTTTGTCTTTTAAATAAACAAGAAAGATAAGTTCAGGAGTAACAATTAATAATGGAGATTGCATAGGTGTTATACTTTGCTTTCATTAACCTCATCCAGTTGGCAAACGTATTGAATAAACGCCTCGTCTCTCTTATTTACTATAAAAATTTTAATTTTTAACAACAGTGTTTTATGCGGATAACGGAGCGTAACAAATAGTTTAGTTGAAAAAATAGCACACTACTCGAACTTTTCGGTGGTAAATAAGTAGGTGCGCTACACAACCAAAAGGGACTAGTTTCTTCAGAGAAGCATAGCTTTTAAAAAATCAGCCGTCAGTACTATAACTAAAATGTATGGCATCGATGACATCAGCACTTATTACGAATTTCGAAGTCTTAATAATGGTTTAATGGGCAGCACTGAGTTTCAATTGAAAAGTCTATGAAATTTTTAAGGCTTCCAAATTACTACCAAGCCACTAAAATAAAGTTGTATCACTCAATATAAAAATATACATTTAAAAAAAATGGTTTACCTACAAATTAATTTTTGTGCTATTTAACAAACCGATTTCAATACATCAAGAATTTTGCTTAGTTGACTTTAATGCTTTGGAAGCCCAGTTTTATTTTTTTGAGAACGAATTGTTATTTTGGTTATTGACCAACCGTTGAGAATTATCTAAGAAAATACTTTTATAATTAAAAACTTCCCTTTTTTAATCCCTGACTTTTTTTTTACTTCATGTAAACATAATAATGATTAAAACAAAGGTGATATTTTAGCTTTTGAAAAATATACTTCTTAGTCACTTGCCTCTACGAGAAGCAAGGAGTTATTTAAAATAGGCCCTAAAAAAATAATGTAATAAAAAATGTATTTTTAAATATCTTCGTTTACTAAAGACAAAAAATTGATTCCATAGTATTCATAATTTTTTAAACTGTGCATGTATATAATGTTACACATAAGGTGCTGTAAGGACTTTTTTTTATGGTACTGCTGCTAAGTAGTAGTTAAACAAAAAAAAGAAGTAAATTAACATGAAGAGTAAAAATGAAAGGTTTATCTAATAAATGTTTAATGCATAAGACTACGTGTTACGCTTATAACACATTTCATCTAATCTAATTGCTCAATTTTTTTTTTATACTATTAAATTTAGCTTTCCATCGGTGAACACGTGGAACTCCTGGGCATGCCCCGAAATTTAATAGTTTCTGTCCTTATATAGGGCTTTTGCTTACATTAAGTTTCGACCTTCTTTCATAATGTCCGACTATGAGGATGACGGTAGGGCTTATAATAATTAACATATATTTTCTTATAACACTAGTTTAATTTTTTTTGTTTCTTAGTTACTGAAAGAGTTAAATCACAAGTCACACTCCGAAAGGGTAGAGGATTTCAAAATAAACGGGATCAGGATTTAGGTTTTTAAAGCCTTCTTGTGTGAATAAAGAAGTTACATAAATTTTGTTAGGGTCCTTTGAGTCTATAGAAAGTAAAAACGAAAAAAATGTGGGCATTGAGCAGAGATGTAGGGCCTTACCATTTTTATACTGTAATGCAGTTTTATTCGTTTTAAAGCTGTAGAGGGGTGGATCTTGATAATTACTGGTTTACACGAGGAAGTTGCTGAAGATCATATTTACAACAAATTTGGTTTTATTAATATGTTACTTTTGGGGTATTTTTGTTGATAAACGTTGTGAAACGTTTAGGCGATTATGGGGAAATTAAGAATTTGCACCTAAACGTAGATAGGCGAACCGGGTTCGTAAAGGGCTACGCTTTGATTGAATATGAGACCCATTCGGAAGCGAGGGGTCAGTCAATATTACTTTGCAAAGCTTATATTTATTGAATTTTTTTTTAGCGGCCCTTGAACGCTTGAATAATCAAGATCTTTTGGGTTGTAAAATGAGTGTGGATTGGGCTTTTGTCAAACCACCTTATCTTACTGAGGAGAGAGGACGGCGACATTCTAGCCGCCGCAGCGATAGAAGCGGGTTTATACTTAAGCTTTAAATTTTTTTAGTATTTTTTTAAGTTTGTATTATAGTCGAAGGCGTGGAAGAAGTCCCTCCGACTACTAAATAGTATGAATCCATCGCCTTTTCCATTATACTCACATTGTTGATGACATGAGTCTACAGTCCGATGAATTTCTTAAAATCAAAATAATATTTTTATATAAAATTGGTCAACAACTAAGCATCCTTTTTATAAGTTATTTTGCATCCTTACATAGTTGTTGTCCTACTATCAGTAGTTAGTTTAATTCTTCCGATTCAATTTGATCTATCACCAACTTGTTACACTACATTATATGTCGTTCTTTTTTCTAAGTAAGGACTTTTTAAATGTATTGCGTTAAGCTCTGATACACTACTTTTTCAGGCAAGTGACTGGATGTTCCTTTTTAAGTTAGTTACTTTATAAAAGTTTTTGCTAGGAAATCTGTCTCGATTTTTAAAGGAGTTCATTACAGTTGGTAAGATGGCTTTGGCCTCGCAGCTAAGTATGCTTCGCTCGACTAGTTATGACAACTTTTTAAACCTAAGTTTATATGAGCACGTAAACGTTTTGCCTCTTATATTTTTGTTCGCGTCTATTGTTATTTTAGCACCGCTAATCGGTTACATAGCTGGAGTATGGTTTACAGTCTTGCTGAAATGTTTATATAATTCTGAAAACTGGGTTAATTTTTGTGTTTTCGTGGTTTCAATTCTTAAGCATGGAATTTTTTTTTTTTTAGGTTTTGTGACAGAATTTATTTCACTCTGGAACCTTTGGAGTGGCAGGGGTTTTAAAGTTTTTTTTTCAAAACTTTCGGAAGTAGCTGAAAAACTAAAAAACGTTGGGTTAAGGCGTGCAATTTGATCTGTCGTTCCAGAGAATTTTTAGTTGAGTTTAGCAATAAGAAAGAAAGCAGTTAAACACCCTAATAAATTATGGAATTGTACATTAGTATTTTTATAAGTGTTGACTTCGTTGAATATTTTATAAATGCAATAACTAAATGGTCCCAGAGTAAAAAAGTAAGGGAATGCGGGTAAGAGGAAGAAGCAAGACGAGATAGACAAATTTATAAAGCTTTACGAGAGAAGTATATACTACTAATAGTACTACCCTGTCTAGGGACGAGGATTAATAATCATAAAAAATTATACGGTAGCAATTTGAACTCTATGGTAGTCATACCTAAAGCCATAATATCTTACCTCAATGAGTGCGCTCGCTCAAGTATTTAACGTCCTTTCAACTTTAAGAGTTTAGAACGTGAGGCTCCTCCCTTCTGGTGAGCAGCTCCTACTCGGGAGGACCAGGCTAGCGGCAGCGGTGTGCTGGTTAGTGCTCCAGGCGGCCTCGAGCCTTGTACCTAAGACCATCTCTCCCGGTGGTGACTTTAGCGGTTTTTTATCACACTTGGCGGAATGACGGGAGTCCGGGCCCAATATTTTCCGCTCTCTCAATTCTTCGGGACAGTTATGATAGCCCTATAAAGAGTATGCACCGGCCCCAACCATCCACGCTGCTGGTGGGATCGGATTAAGCAGGTTTGAGATCCCCCATGGGCCTCCACTGTGACTTGACAAAAAAAAAGTTAAAACGTATAAATATTACTGCTATAGGAAGGGACGCTTAACTCTTGGGCAAAAAAAGTCATTTTACGCGTTTTTAACTAGTACAAAGCGAGGGCGTGTAACGACCCTAAAGGAAGTTACTTCTAGGAAGATGTAAGGGCGTTGTGCAACCAGAAATAAGTATAATAATTAGTAAAATTATGTTTAATTAAATATTTTAAAAATACAGAATAAACAAAAGAATCAGAACCAGAACAAGACCAAGAACAAAACAATACTCGATGAAGAATAAGAACAAGAACTAGGAAAAGAGAAGAACAAGGGAAGACACTTGACCAAAAAGAGAGTAAACGAAACTCAAGCATTCCTGTAGTTGATCAAGTCCATGTATACAAACGGGTAATGTAAAAAATAATAGAACGGGCTAATCAAGAGGACAAAGGGCTTAGAATTAGAAGGGTTGAGTACTGAGTATTACATTATTATGCCCTCCTCAAAAATCTTTATTCCAAAGATTACTTGTTAAGGCTCAACTTCTTTGACAAATCAAAATCAATAGACGAGATGACGGTACAGTCCCCATCATCGAAAAGGATTTTATATATAAAACGCTTAGGGTTAAAGACTTTTCTGTCTTTGGTAATTTTTTCAGCGTATCATGTACCGGAAAATGAAGTTTTGTAATAGGATGGGTCATCTTTGAAAAAATTTTTTAAATCTTTGTGGTTGTCTAGTTCATGTCGTTAGCCCAAGTTATTTCTATATTACCATCTAAATAGGACCAGTCGACCAAAAACTGCAAAATATTTCTATGTAGCCTAGAATTCAATATCGTTCGTTATTGGGCTGTTCGTGGTATCTGATCCGAAGTCATCACTAGTGGTGAAGGCCGTTCCTTGCCGCAAAAGTTTCTATATTGCTTCAATAAGTTTACGTGAAATACATAATGAATTTTCATAATTTTGGGAAGAGCAAGGCGGTAAGCCACCCTACCAATTTTTTCTAATACATTGAAAAGGCCGTAACATTTAAAGCACAACTTCTTTATAGGGTGAAGGGTTTTAATGTTTTTTTCGTCAAGCAAAATCCAGTAACCTACCTCAAAATTAACGTCCTCCCTCCTCTTGTTCGCTTGGTATTCTTGTTCCCTTTGAAAGGGTTTAAGGTGGTATCTCAACTCGGAACTAATCTCAGATAAGAATTGTACTCTGTATCAGCTTCCGGGGCCAAGGAATGAGATAGAAGGTTAGCATCAAACTGAGGATGGAAGCCATATAGCACAAAGAATGGCGAAACTCCAGTGTTATGGTTTATACTATCGTTATTTAAAAAATTCAGCAAAAGGAAGGTATTCCACCCAGTCGTCTTGTAAGTAAAAAAAAACTAAGATTTTTGCTCAATAACCTGATTACCACTTTCGTAAAGCCGTCAGACTCTGGGTAAAAAGTGGGCGATAAATTAACCTTGCACCCTAGGAATTGAAAAAAGTCACCCTTAAACTTAGAAAGGTACTGGGGACCTCGATCAAAACTATGCTTTAAGGGAACCCTTGTATTATATATACATATATTTTACAAAACTAGTCGCAACTTCTTCAGAGGTGATAGACTTGGAGACGGGGATGAAATGGCACAACTTAGAGGGAAGACATTTAACGACCATTACGTCGTCGTAGTTATGGTGCAGGAGAAGACCAGTAAAAAAATCCATGGTAATGCCCTCCCAGTTATTTGTAAATGGGAGCGGTTGCAATAGTTCGTAAGGCTTATGTCGTGACGCTTTAATTCTTTGGTAAGTGTCACAACTTCCTATGTAACCGGAAATTTCTCTCTTCATACCAGACCAGAAAAATCTCGAGTGATTAACTCATAAATTTTATATGTACCGAAACGCCCATTTAAACGAGAACTATGAGGATGCGCAATAATGAAAAGCAGTAATTCCTGATAAGGAACAACTGTTTTGTCTTTGTTATACATTACGGAGTTTTTTTAATGAAAATTGCCTAGTGGTAGTCTTAGCCTTCCTTATAATCACGAAATAACTTAGAGCTTTGCGTTTCCTTTTGTATTCGCGCTAAAAAATTATTATCGATAAAAATAGATAACGTACCTGAGTGAATGGTTTCATTCTTAGAAGACAATACAAAAGGGGTCTGAGGTGTGGGATTTGTGTTCCGCTCGAATTGAGGAAGAAGTGAGAGAGCGTCAGATTTTATATTAGTCTTTCCGGGCTAAATTTTATTTCATAATTATACTCAGAAAGATCGGTATCCAGGAAGCCTGTTTCCTATTTACAATTTGTTTTCGCTTAAAATATTCGAGATTTTATGGTCAGTTATAAAGGTAAAATTTTCTTGCGAGGGTAAAAGATAGCGCCTCCAAGTCCTAAGAACCTCAACAGTTGCAGATAATTCTTTATCGGGTGTACGATTGTTTAATTGTGAGCAGTGAACTGCTTAGAATAAGTTTCGACAGGGAGTGAACCATCTGCATAGACTTGATTAAGGTCAACCCCCAGGCAAGATCATTAGCATCAGTCTCAACCACAATTTTAAGATTAGGGTCAAAATGTCTTATTAAAATGGGAGTAGAACCCATTTAAGCTTTTTAAAAATAGCTTCTTGTTCTGCCTCCCAACGAAATTTATTTTCTTTCTTAAGAGCTTAATCAGTGTGTAGTAGCCACTTATAAATCTCCTGTAAAAGTTTGCAAAGCCCAAAAATTGTGGAAGTTTTTTTATCCTTATGGTGCCCCATTGGCAAGTACAACCAACTTTAAAGGGAACCATTTTTATACCCTACCCATGGTGGTTCAAATTTATAGTGACACTCGACTTCGGGTTCTGTTATACTTAGGTAGTTGTAAAAAGTTTAGTTGTGCTCTAAAGACGGTGCTCAGTCATAAACAACAGAAGTTTTCATGTTTGCGAAATAAAAGGGAGAAGCGTAGATCATGCTCGATCCTATAAATATTGTGTGTGATAGCAAATTATTGCTCAAGGACATTTGTTTTTTGCACACAGTGGCAGACAAAAAGTTGGGTCGCCGACATGACCTTCACCATGGCATATGCGCCGTGTTATCGCCACGACAATTCATTGTTAACAATGAAACCCGAGTATATCGCGGAAGCTTTGCTTTTTTAAAAAAAAAGGGCAGGAAAAGGCGTAATGGGTTTCTATCAAACGAAGAGCGCCTTGCTCTTCTTCGCATACTTTGTTACGCCTACAAGGGCGCTACTAGCTGGCATATGTTTCCAAGTATTGCTGTAGGTGCTGAAGTAACAATAGGCTCTCCAACGATGCGTCGCCGTGTCTTGTTATCAAAGTAAAAAGCAATGTACGTGTACCTTTTCACAGGGACTGAGATGTTGTGTATATTAAGCGCAAATGGCAACGACGAAAGGAGTAAGCACTGAGTAATTCCCGCAGTTAGCAGAAATAGCGGTGACAGCAAATTGCCTATACAACCATGTAAAACACGACCTAAGAGAGGGGTTGAGAAGTTGCAGAGTGCGCAGTGGACGCACAACCCACGCAACTTAACTTAAGGCCTTCTCAACATCTTCGAATACGGCTTCTGTGGTTCTCTTAACGTTAAAACCACGTGGTGAACTCTACAAACATCTTCAATCGACGCAACACAACCCTGTCAACTTTTTCTATGGGGAAAGCAAACTGTGCAATATTTAATAGGATTTGAATGAGGATGTGCCCTCTTGAAAAGAATACAATAGTAGCCGTTTTTCCAACGTTTGAAAGCTAAGCGGCATAACAGAGTTTGCTAGACAATCAGTCGGCTTATTGGCACCAGAGCATTGTTTCGGCATCACAATAAAAGGGACTGTATTGCTCGGCATTCCCATTATCGTCCTCAGCAGTAGCTCAAGCTGCAAGCACGAAATGAGCAGCGAAATGGTCGACAAAGGATGATTAGTGCGCCAATGAAAAGAGCATGTATAATAAATTGGTTTTAAAGTAAGAGCACATGTATTAATTTAGTAATTAGTGTCACTTGGTACCATTGTTCTCTTTTTAAAGAAATTGATGTACTTTGATCCCGTAAAACGCTTTTTTTTGAGTAAAGAAGTGGTCTTTAGATATAGTAAGCCTAGTAAAATAAGCTGTTAGATTGACTTTCTTGGCCTTGCATTCCTTTGAGAGGTAGAATGACATCAACCGCTTGCATTACCATAATGTAAAAATTTACAATAAGAAACACAATCCTGCTAAAATTTTACTTTTCGCTGTGTTAAAAAGTCAAAACTTAAATTATGATGGCCTTTTTACTTATACTTCTAATCTTTAATATCAATTTTATATAATATACAGCTTATTATTCACTGTGTTATTCACTGTGCGAACAGACGTCGAAAGTAGGTTGACGGTACAATCTACTTACAGCACGAGTTCGGGTTAGTTAATGCCCAAATTCATTGCCAATATAGTGTAAATACTTTAGCCTTCAGTTATTAGATTTATATATGATGGGAGTATTGATCTACTTTAGTAAAATTATTGTATAAATATATCAGATTTTATTTAATCTACATTTACTCGGTCAATAATATGCTTATTTTGGTACATGCTAAAAATTCACAAAATTTTAGAAGAAACTAACTCTTCCTTACTCACTTTTAATATAAGTTGGAGATACGACCTTAAATATATAAATAATAAACAGAAAATCTTAATGCAAAAGCATGGATGTGGAGTTTGTTAAGATTAATGGTTTGAGAAGTTCTGTTTAGTGCCCTAGAGAGCAAGCTCAATGACGTTATTTTGTTTATAGAGTAAAAGTTGTATTGTTAGTAACTACCTAGAATTAAGGTAAGTAAAGGAAGTCTGGGGGTTTAGAATGTTTTGTACTTTAAACAGTTCTAGTTTATATCTTTTTCTTAATAGATTCATAAAATTTCTTTAAGAAACCTTGAGAATAGTAACGAATTCGTTTAGGGTGGGGCCCACCTATTTAATGATCAATATTAAGCCGGCCGGAAAAAAAAATATTTTTTTTGTGTGCTATTTAACATTAGGGGTGTGCCACTTTTATTTTAACTAGGCAGTTTGTCTAAAGTAAAGAGTTTGGTTTAAGTAACACGATTATTGCGTTTGTGCAATCGCTTAAAGCTTATAAGGTCTTTATAGCGTAAAGTTACAAATTATTAATTTTTCTTGGCTAAGTATACTTACGTCGGTTCAAAAGCCTATATTGTAAATTAAATAATAAAATTGTTGTATTCCGTTGATTGAGTTTTTGTCCACAAATAGTTAGGCTGAATCGTGCATCAAGGTGCTTTTTATAAGATTTTACCTGATCTCTAAAAGGTGGCTAATGGGCGAAGATGCCTTTGTTACTAAAAAATTTAAGTGACAGACTTTACCTAAACAGTAAAAAGAAACATTGATATATACTGCGAATTAGTGTTAGAACTATTTTTTTTATGTTCAGTGATCTGTTAATTTCCTTTTTAATTTTTAATATGACTTTATACAACTACTAACCTTAAGTACATATAAAAAAAATTTATCATATATTAAACAAAACTCGTTAAATTTGGAAGTACACTTTACCGTAGAATTTTTTAACTTTTTAAGTATGCAATTGACAAATATATGACATAATGTGTTAGAATGCCTTAACACAAATTATTACACATTTTTCTTTGTTCCCTTTTAAAATGAAGGTAACTGTATTTCTGGATATGGAATAAATTTAGGCAAGGTGTTGTCTTAAGAAAACTTTTTTATTTATAATCAAATTGGAAACTTCTAAATTAACCTATCTGCACTGTATTTTCTTCTTTTCTTTAGGAAGAACAGCTTAGAATGCAGAGAATACATTAACTATTTAGTGAGTGCTTTTGAACTAAAAATAGCTTTTACAAGTCAAAAAGAGCTTCGGCCAATCCACTAATATTAATTTCCTGAAGCTGCATGGGGGAGTAAAGGGTAAGGGGTTCCCTTGACTAAAAGCATAGCGGAAGCTGAAAGCATTTTTTCTCTTTGCTTAACCTTATCAAATCGGTCATGGCAGCTCGTACTCTCCGCTTAATAAAACCTTCAAGGATCGGGATGGTCCCAGTTAACTTACCAGAAACAGTCAGTATGGAGCAAAAAGGGAATTGGATTAGATTGACAGGCCCCCGAGGCTCTTTATTTAAACACTTCGATTCTTCTGTTAAAATAGAAAAGGTGTGTACCCACACGACTTATCTTTAATAAATTAATAATGTACAAAGATGTAAGTCTTTGATAGCAGTAAAGCCATCGTGTAAGGATTTAATTGTAGTTTTAACCTTTTATAGATAATAAGAAATTAATTTTATTTTAAGACTTTATTTTTTTATATATATTTACAACTTATTAGATAAAGAACACAATAATTGTTTCCATGGCCCAGCAGACCCAAAGAGCAAAGGCTTATCAAGGAACTTAATTCTTATATAATTAGAAATCCATTAGCGGAACATCTGAGATGTGTTATTAAAAATGTTCAGGAACCTCCCGTACTATTATCGAGAACATGATTGAAGGTTTAATAGACGGACACGCAAAAATTTTACAACTTGTTGGAATCGGTTACCGTGCTAGCATAGAAGACAGTTCTTTTTTTTAAAATAAATGCGTCTTTCTTTTTATGTAATTAAAATATTTACAGAAAATTTATGCCTAAACGTTGGTTATAGCGATACTAAAAAGTTACCTATACCTGATGACTTGGAAGTTATCCTTTCTGGTCTATGCATTCTTTAGTGGAAGCATATGTTCTTACGAATGACTTTTTATATAAGGACAAACAACCATAATTGTATACGGTAACGATAAGCAGGAAGTAGGAGAGTTTGCTAGCCTTGTGCGAAAAGTTAGAAAACCTGAGGTGATTAATTTTTAATTTTATGATTTATGTTAGTCTTATCTTTCCTCTTTGGTTCAACTAGGTTTACAAAGGAAAAGGGATTCGCTACAAAGATGAAATCGTCCGAATTAAAGCTCCGTCTTCTAAGAAATAATTAAAGTCTTTATAAATGTCTTTTAGAGGTAGAATGGCAACTGCCATTTGTTTTTTTATAAGCCGTATGCGGCTTATAACAAATAATTTATGCTGAGTACCCTGTTATTGTTATACGCACCATCTTTCAAAGGCTTCAGCTGCAGTAATCTTTTTTACTCTTATTCTCTCTAATAGCTAAACAATTAGTCCAGATTTCATAATTAAAATCCGCAGAACATTGAAATGTCTGCACTATTTTACTCTATGCGATTAAGAAGTTCCTTTTATTAGATTTAAGCCGGCTCTTTTTCTTTCAGTAGCAAGAGCTTAGGTGATATAGGAGTTGTTGATAGTCTTTTAAGTTGAATATACTTCCATACAAAACTCGGAGGTATCTAATAAAATCTCAGAGACCCTTAGAAAGCAAGTGAGACCTTTTTCAGTTAGATGCATGAATATAGGCAAAACACGAATATTACTTTTACTCAAAACTTTTAAGGTCATTTATAGTTAAAGCGTCTAGAAAACAAAAATATCACCTGGGGCTTATAAGTTTTGACGCGCCACGTGGGGTTTAAGTAAAGAAGTTTTCACGGCAGTTAAACTAGCAACTTTCTCCCATTTTGCTAATATATATTTTGGTTTTTGTAGGATTTGCAGTGCTAATAATTCTTCAGTCTTTTATTATATAGAGCACTTGAAAATTTCCTTAAAATATCACGAATAGCAATTTTTTCCTATACAACGGAGACATCAGTGTGCGCTCTTCCAAAACTGCAGAGGGAAATAGAGGTATATACGCAGGCATTTAAAATCTACTTTTGACGAAGGCCCTACTATTATATATATGTATATACATAATGTTGCGGTGGTGGTGCAGCTATTTCAGTCTTCATTAAAGTAAATAACTCTTTTAAAGCCGCGGGCGCAAGAGAAATTTTGAAAACATTCAAAATTTTTACAGATGTTAACTTACATAATGGTTTCACTAACCTTGGTTAAGGATTTCTTTTGATGTGCGTTATTCAGTTAATGGATCGAGAGGTGATCGTAGATTTAAAGTGTCAGGTAAAATAAAAATTTTAGCGATTCTGGAATAACGTAGTGGTTTGATAATCGTTGCCCTGACTTAACTTCAAGTTAGTTGTAAAAGAGTAACTTTGATTTTGGTGGTATCACGCCTTTATATGTTGTTCAGCGTTTGAACAAAGCCCGAAGTAATGTCTCTCAGCAACGTTAAACAAGCGATTTAGTTTCGTCGGGCTGAAAGGATTGGAACTTTGTAAAGATCCCACGACCGAGTGGTTGAAAGGGTTAACCTATGCAAGGAAGCATAAGTCTTCTGTGGATTGTAGGAGTAATTGGGCAGCTAAACGCATAGTATTTTTTTTCGAATTTTTATTGCAAACACACTTATTTCTTCACATAAAAAACTTGGTTTTCTTCTTGCACTCGTGAATTGGGCACCTCACAGAGTTCTTGACCTTGGATTTCAGGAGTAACAAATGTTGTCTTTGACTCGTCCTTGCACTGTTGTTGGTCGGTAAAGTTGGAGAGGACCGAGGAGTTGTTGCTCGCGAAAGTAAAAATACCTGTGGGTTTTTACTTTTATAAACGGTTCTAGGTGTACCCGGTAAAAACTCGACTTCAGCGTCTGCGTTTCTAAAGGTCTATAAATGACTTTGAGTTAAAAAATCAAAAAGCTGTAAGATTTTTTTGCGTTCATCACCAAAGTTAGATGGCCATTCCGAAAAAAATTTCTTTATTTTGCTACCTCCAACTCAAAAAAATTTGAAGTCTTGTTTTAACCGTCATTTATTTATTAGTTCTTGCCTTCAATTATAACCTGAGGGTCCTTTTAATGGACAGTGAGACTCAGAAGGGTATGACGCTGACTGTACCCTAAATAAAAAGCACTAGATCATCATCACTCTTGAAAAAACTTAAGTTACGAGTTTAAAGTTTCTTTAAAAGGCTTGGATGGATAAGTCTTTTAGGTAAGGTTAGGTATGGGTTATAAATAAATTACCAATCCTACTACAATATATGCCTAACGACCTTACAATAATTTTTGTGTATTAAATAGTAAAACTTTTCTATAACGTAAAGGATTTCCAATAAGACTAAAACACCTCTAATAAGATCAAGTTGTTTAGACTGTTCGCTGTTCGAGTTGATTAGGGAGGTATCTGCTTCTTTAGATAAGTTAAAGTTGTTAATGTTTTTTCTGAGCTTGCGATTTCCCCGCCTCTGTTTCTCATTTTCAGCCCCGAAAGTTTCGTAAGACTTGAATCAAATTATGCTCAAATTATGCTTATAGGATTTATTTTTAAAAAATAATCTATTTGGGGCAGTGCAATTATAGTCCATTTTGCGTAAAACTTGTCTTCTACCTCTAAAGCACCAGAGTTTACAAAAGCGTTAACCTTAACGTAAAATATAAAATTTTCAACGTAGTTGCGTTTATATAATAAATAAAGCTACCTTCAAGAACAGTAGACAATGATTTGATATGGTGAAGTTAAGGGTTAGAATTAGGGGTACTTAACTAAGATAGTGAAAATTCTCTTAAATATGCCTTTTAAAGGATATTGGAAAAAATATCAGTAAACTCCACTGGAGGTAATAAAAATAGACTGTGCTAGTGGACATTAAAATATAACGGTCAATGTTTAACCAGTTAGTAGTTCCGTTGTTACTTTCTAATAAAAAAAAACTTTTAAAAAAATACGTATAACTATAAAAGGTAAACAAATGTAAATACGTGGTACGACCAATAAATTCCCGGCCTCCTCTTTTTAAATAAAAGTGCGCGGATTCTTTTAAATATTAATACTATTAATAACATTCATATCCCCGTAGCTTGTGAGAAAAATTATTTATTTATGTTTATATGTCAAATTAATATTCTAAATGAGGCGTGTAACGAAATTTGAAAGTTTTATGCTTGAAGTAAGATCTGTGGTAAAGTTTCTTACTAAAGAGGGCTTCAAGTTTACAGAAATTAAACGTTTGGATAATATTTATCGCGACTTTTCGCCGTCATTTACCGCAGTAAAAGAGCGATCAAAGCTTTCACGTTTAAAAAGAAATTCTATTATTGATTATGCACGTCAAGGTAGCCCAGTGGAAGTGACCACTCGAAAAAAAAAAAAAATGAAATTCACTGATGAAATGGTACTAGGCGATCGCCATTTGAAGGCCAAGGAAAAAGCATAATCCACCAATCTTCTAAAACCACGGTTACTCAAATTCTTCACAACCAATTACTTATGACAAAGATAAGCGCAAGATATGTGTACAAACTTCTCAACTCACTTAAATAATGTGTGAATTCCTGTCTTTTTTTGGAGCTTTGCCACGATAATGAGAAAGTATTTAAGTCCTTTGTCGCTGGAGACGAAGCCATAGTTCCTTAATATGATTTTGTCAAAAAGAGAATTAATGAAGTGGAATGGTCGAGGTGAACCACCACCAAGAAAAGCGGGAAGGCCCCATCAACAAAAAAAATATGGCCACAACCTTCCGGGATCCCAAGGACATTTACATAATGGATCTTAAAAAAGGGAATAACACCGTAAATAGAATAAACTGCGAGAGGTTTTCAAATAAAAACGGCGTGGAATGCTTAGTCGAGGTGTGAGGCTTCTGCTAAAATACCGCCGCAGTTGCTAAAGCCCCCAGCGGTTATTTCTCTTTGCAAAACTGAAATCGTTCTGGGGGAGATTAAACTTAGTAAAATAAATCAGCGAGGGGAGGGGGGAAGGGTTAAAATTTTAAATTTCTTATGACAATTGTGTTGAAATTCAAGATATTAAAAAATTTTAATAACTTTTTTTACTAAAGTCGCTTTTAACTCCCTTAGACAGGGAACTTAAGGGCCGTACCACGTAACATCAATTTATATCGCGCATTTGTCATAAAAGATATAAAAAGAAATGTCCCAAAGCGCAAATTCATGATGTAGTTTGCTGTCTGACATCGTCTTTATAAGTCAAATATAAATTACTTTTCTGCTCTTCTAAGTAATAACAACGCGATTCCGTTATAAAATTTTCTAAAAAATAAATGGCTACCTTTAAGAAACTTCAACAAGGGCTAAACTCCTAAGAATACTTATATTTTATCCATAATTAACTTTTAGAATAGTTCTCTAATTATAAAGCTGACTGAATATGACGCCTATCTAATAAGTGGTGTTAGGAATAGTTTCGTGTGTTTGAGTTATATTAATTTTTCTTCATATAATATTCTAAGTTAAACTTTCAATCTAAAAAACCAATTTAGTTGAATATAAGGTAGTTACATCTTACAAGGGAGTGATCGGAAGAAACGGGGTATTCACAAGTACCTAAAGACGTTTACGACGCAAGGAACTCAAGATGAAAACTTATTCAGTAGGTAAACAAATGTCAAATGTTTAAGAGCAAATAATAAAGATTCAGGAAACTTAGTGCCCAAGCACCCAAAAAATTGGTTCCTCTAAAAATATAATGCACTATATTATTAAAGAATAACAAGAAATCCGCTTTCACTTGGCACCTCTAAACTACGACAAGCATCCTTAAACCTGACGTCACAAAGGTAATGGAGTGTAAAGGTTTTAATAACTTTTGGGGCCATGGAACCAATGAAAGTAGAGAGGGTGAAGTGAATCGGTTATTTAAAATAACTCCAACAGGGATATAGCTGGAACCTCGATAAGTACAAAAAGATAATAGAAAAGTGAGTCAAGCCTACCTTTATACAGAATACATATCAAAATTTGTTTGCCCAAAAACTTTTAAATAAGCTTCAATATACCGACTACAAATAAGAAAAAAAGCGGTCTTCACGTTAAAAGCGGCTCAGCAATACTAAATAAAACATGGTTCCTCTAAATTGATTAAGCTTGTTAAAGCATAATTTAAGGTAAAAGCAGTACAATTCATAAAGATTATAAAAAATGAGCTGAGCAGACGATTATTTTTTGTCTTAAAACGAATAAAACTGAACATTACGGCCATGATAACCCAAACCAACACATGTACTCCATTCAGCCGGCTATATTGCCTTAACATATTTGAAGTCACCTCAAGTTATTGAATCCTAGCCGGAAGCGGCTCGTATATACCCCTGCGAACAGCCCTCCTTTGGTGATAAAAAAACTTAAGTACCAATATGTTAACTTCGGCAAAGTCCAATAAGGTATAGCGAGAGTTATCTAGGCTGTTCCGTTGACAAAGTATTAGCGTGTACATTTGTAATTCCACAAAGTGGGAACCAAATTTTAAGTTTATAATTCTTTATTTCGGGCACTCCGGAATATGTCGATGTAATAAATAGAACGTTTGTCTGGCTTAAATTTGTCACAGGCAAAGGTATGTAACGCTATTTAGGCTCTTCATACTGGTTTCAATGTTTAAGTATAAAAACACAAGACAAACGTTTTAAGGGAGAATTTTTTGATCTAAATAAAAACGGCAAAACCCAATAAGACATTCCAGCGGCAGGTAAGCAAGAATAGACGCCCAAAGGCCGGCAGAAGCAGAGTTTAAGTTGATGCAGTGAGAAGATCTCAGAGTCCCTTGTGGACATTTCCAAAGGCGTTGAAAAAAAATGAAGCAAAGTATACTTCATCAACACGTCATAACATGCTATATATTGAACGAGACTACGCTTTAAGTATTAACCGTGAAAGTTATGCTAAAAAAAATATTAAAACACATACTAAATCCATTATATTCGCAAAACACGAGACTATTATTTTGCTTCAATAACATTGTATGATTCAATATTATAAACAGAGTACAAAAGAAAAACGAAATAAAGTAATACAGATCAAATAAAGGCACCTCCAGTTATGTTAGCAAACGAAAAGTTTTAAAAGCTGAAACTTTAACTAATAAGCATTTTTAAAGTGTGAAGCTCGTTAAATCAAGGAATTCACGCGTATGGGAGCACGAGAAAGGGCTGCCAATCTCTCAAATGAATTACCCAAACTCTGTAGTATTAATAAAACCAGTACTTTATAGACTATTACTGATAAATTTCAAAACAAAAACTGAAAATTTGAAGCTGCTCGTACAGCCCAACTGGGGCTCGTTAAAACAACAACAGTTGCGTGAAATAATAAAAGTGAGGTGAAAGAGAGAGAGATGGAGTAAGTCAGTGGTGTGTAGAATCGTTTTGAGGTCGAGTCGTTAGCATGAGACTACCGTACTACAATAGAAGTATTTATGTCAAAAGGCCAAATCTACGCGGTCAAGAAGTATCGGTCTTCGAAAGCTGCTCTGCACACCATAAATCAGGCGAACCAGCGCATCCATTATATATTCATCGGATGCCTGAGCAAAAACGTACAACTGGCAACTAAAATCCACTTAAATTGTGGTATTCTTTATAACAAAATCCAGAGAGAAAAGCACTTGCCACAAAAATGTTTCTTTGAAAAAGCTTCGAAAGTGCATTTTATTAGCAAACGTGAAATCTTTCTCTCCATAATATTTACACAAAGAATTGGCTAACGGCCCAAACCAAATACCGTAAAAGTGGTGTTCTTCGTGTATAAGAATGAAACTATAAGTCACATGAATCATACGCACGATAGCAAGCACAAGTACCCGCTTCTTAGTATCTCGGATGGCCACTCACCCTCGCAGGATAATCATAATCTTCGTTCCTTCGAGGTTTATATATCTCTCGCTTATCCTCGTATACCCGCGCTGTGATAGTACACATAAAAAAATAGCCAAGCAAAAGGCGAAAGAAAAAGTGAGTACGCGGCTCGTAGCGATCCCGGTCACGAGCCCTGTATGAAGGTAGCGTGCGCCCAGTATCATATAAAGCCGGACGTGGAGGATAAGTCTGCCTGTCTAACGGCCTTCTCGAGCGGAAAGCGTCAGGCTCGTACGCATAACTATAGTGGTTTCTCGGGCCCCCGTGCGTCATAGAACTGCTTAGCTTGTGAACGGGCCGCAGTCTATTCTCAGGGTTGTACTCTATAGGCCAGAAAAAGTCAACTGACAACAATTGGGACATGAAAGAAGAAAAAAAAGACCTCGATCCCCTCGCATAAACTCGCGTGGGGAGTCCGGTCGATGGGATTGAGAGGATAGTGAGTAGCCTGCACCCCGGAAGCCGAGTGGATGCCGGACGCCACGGGGAACATTATAGCCACTGAAGTGGTGCACATCAAAGAGTCATGTGAATAGACACCCATCCGCAAAAAATGAAAACACAAGAAAACCTGCGGGGCGGAGGCGTCATGCGCCGGCTAATGGTAGGACGATCAGAGAGCGCAGAAAAAGGCGGACGGTGAGAAGAGGGCCGAGTGGTTTGAAAGGAATTTTTTAGGTCGCTATAAGAGCCTGTGGCCACGCGGTCATCCCTGATATGCCGCCTTACATTTTCTCTAAAACAACCCAAGTAAAAGCCACGCATTAATATAAAAGCGAAAATAAGACACCTTTCATCTGGCGAGCGGTGCAGAGCTCTGTCCCGCCCTCTTCTGGACACTGGACTTCCATCGCTGTAATGCTCCCAGGACGACCCCCGCTCTTCTCGAGGGTACCGCGCAACAGGCACAGATTCAAACGCTCTTGGATCGCGACTGCTGCTGCGGCGTTTTCCTTTGAATATGCGGCGGTCACTCTCCTCCCTCATGTGGCGATAACTGCCCTCACCACCACCTGCTCTTGGAGAAAACGATTGACGGAAATGATGCTCTTGCAGTTGAGCAGTGCGCTCTTCATTGGGTCTGCTAACACGTGGGTAGTAACGGCGTTCGGGAGGGTCGTCTAAGGGGGAGGGTCGGTAATCTCTGCGGGTCCGATTAGCAGGCTGGGAAGGCGGGGGTCGGCGCTCGGGAGACTTGCCATATTCTGAATAGCGTTTAGGCGGTGGTGTAATGGGCTCTCTGCAACCCCTGAAGGTCAATAATACGAAAAACAAAACGGTCAGGCAGGGACTAAAAAAAACTTTGGTGACAATGCGGGCTGGCGTTCACGATCATGGTGAGTCGAGGAATAGGTCTGAGGGATGTCCCTACTGAGTCGTTCTCTAAGCATCGGCCTCTCACTATTACCGTTTCGATAATTGCCGTCATACCCTAAAAAGTTTGCGGCTTCATTCCAGCAGCGATGAATATGCAAGTAAAGGAGGTACGTTGCGCTTGATAGCAAAACTTAGCAACGTGACCAGGACGGTTGCAGATAAAGCAGGTAAGCACTTTGTTTTCTGTCAAATTGCCCCTAAGAAATGTTGGCAGCGCGCTATATATCTGGTGAAAACTAAATTTACTTTGGGCAGTCCCGAGCAAAATGTCCAGGTCTCTGGCAGTTGTGACAGATCCTAGTAAAAGAAATATATAAAAATAAGAGATGCTGAAAACAAAAAAGTACAGTTTAGGGCAGTCCTTAGACAAGTGGCCTTCTTTCTTGCACACGTAACATCTAACTAAAATAGGCTAAGACGGCGGCCAAACAGAGCAAATAAACGCGTACCACTTTTGAATTTAGAATCATTTTCCTCATCAGGACCTTTAAGTGAATGGGATTTAGGTAGAAAGTTAGTATTCTCAATACTACTAGCATCAGATTTTTTCAACGCTGAACTGTCAGCAGTCTCAATTAAGCTTCCAACTGTGTTAGCGCTAACTTCCAAGTTAACAATGACGTTTTCACTATCCTTATCAACGTGTACCGAATCTACGTATTCATCTAAAGACAACGACAATGGTAATAAGCTATCAAAGAGATGCGACGCTAGGGCGACCCTCAAGCTGACTGACTTGTGACCCCTCAATCAGTTTACGCTATGTTTGTAAATGTGACTGGAGTATACTGTTAACCAAAAGATAGTATAATCAAGCTTTAAGGGTAACATACTGCCAAAAATTGAAGTTTACAGTAAGAGCAAACTTACAAAACCAAGTAAATAAACTTTAAATATACCTCAGTAAAATATAACGATATATTTATATTAATATACTTCAATTCATTTTAATTATTTATATGTTACAAAAGCAATACAAGATTTCAACAAACCTGAGTCAATAACATCCAGTTCTTTACTAAATAACTCGTCCGAATCATTATAATCTCTAAACTCAGACATGAAAAGTACAGTTGCTGTTTCCTATATAATACGAATTGTAAAAAAATAAAAGTTCTCTTCTTCTTCTTGAATAGCACGTAATATAGACAAAACCAGAAAGTTAAGCGAAAAGTCAGCACAAAAAACAAAGCCGGGCGTCTCACCCCAGCGTAAAAATATTTAGTTGTGATATCCATATTCCCTGCACCATTTAAAGGGGTTCGCTCAGAAGCCAATTAGTAAAAAATCTATGGGTGGTGCCACGCGGAAAGTTTTTCGCTCGGGCAGGACCGAAAAAAGAAGTTAGTCGGGCACCCGGCTTTGCGAAACAGTTATGCGAATTTTTGCGCTCACCCTTTGCCTAGATGGCCCTTGTATTTTCAATTATAGTTACAGTAGGACTAAAGCTTTTTGTATTTTGTTACAATGTTGCCGTTAATTTAAACTGCAAGTAATTTTACCTTCTACGCTATATTATGCTTTTCCCTTTTTTAAAAGGGTATTTATATAAGTGAAACCCAGTAAGGTTGGTCACCGATCTGTATTTTTTTTTTGCTAGCGCGAGTTTGTGTATAACATATAAAATTTGCGAACCAACAAATTTACTTTCGCCTTGCTTTTTAAAAAAATTTACTTTTACTACTATAGCAAGAGCTCTACGAATATTTTTTGTATGTCCAGCGTTTTTGACGTTTCTTTTTTTCGCGGTTTCCCCTATATTTATAGCTTCCTTTTAAAGGGAATTGTTTAAAAAACTTTGAAAGTTCTCGTTTAAAGCATCTTGAAATAAAAATAATTTGGGTAGGTCCTTTCGTGTGACACAACTATCGGTTATTGAAGATAAAAGTACACAATTCCAACTTTGCGTGTTATGTGTTTGCAATTTATTTTCACAGCACAAACTCGGTTTAGTTATTATCCAACTGCATTTGAAATATATAGTCGTCTTACTGTTTTACCTCCCGTTTTAAATTTTCCTAATTCACTTTTGTTTATGTCCAACCTTATTAATAAAAATATGTCTGGTCAGTTAAGCAAACTGCCTTTATATACATGTATAAGTACATAAAAAATAATTTGTAAAACTACCAGGTGTGCGTGTATACAACACACTCCGTATTCAGTATGTATATCGACACTGTTAGATATACAAGTCCCTATGCTTAAACAGTTGGTGGGAATGTTTCACTAAATTTTTTTAATCCTGGAGTATAACTTATAATGAACTGTATGGGGAAAAATTTTTCTTGTTTTAATATAAAACAGTGTTCACTTATAGATTGTTATAAATTAGTTAACCGGAAAAATTTAATCAAAATAAACTTGCACCATAATGCTAATAGAACAATATTAAAGCTCTTTAAAACAAATTTCTATAATGGTAAACAGGCCAAAACTACTTTTCTAAAATAACAAGACCGAGTGCGATAGGCGATAGGTGAGTCTGCCTCGACGTAGCGCAGTTCAATAATTCGTACGCCCAAAAGAGGAAAGAAAAAGGATAACTTGGGCACCCTCTGAAGAGATGGAACATTATGTTGGATAGTCAAGCTGCCATACACGTGGTTACGGGCTTGAGTGGTAGTAAGTTGTCTAAGCACTTTAACCTTAAATATCATTAAGTTGAAAGAGAGAGGAATCGATATTTATTTACCAAAGTGTTAAGCGGAAAAAAGTTTGCAAAGTTTCGAGGCAGGTTACTATCGGTCATATAACTCTGGCGCTTGCTGTGAACTGGTCGCTCATCAGCACCCGGTTTATGTACTGACGCCACCTTACACTTAACTTACCAGTGACTATATAACCACTAAATTTTAGCGTCGTTTAGCACCCATAGAAATAACAAAAACAATTTTGTATTGATTATTATGCTAAAGGGTATAAGTATTACTTTCGAGGAGTTTCTAGACTGCTCCATATATATATGTGTGTATAGCTATTTTTAACAAAGAAGAAGTTCAGCGCCACGGCGTTTGGACATCTACTAAAATTGGAACGATACAGAGAAGATTAGCATGACCCTTGCACAAGAGTGACAGGTAAAACGTGAAGCATCAATTTTTTTTTTGGTAGAATTGGTCAATGTTTTCGATGCCAATTATTCGGGCATACCAATAAAATTCTGCACTTCTCAATAAAAGTGTGTGAAATGTGCAGAAAACCACGATTCCAGATCCTGCCCTAAACCTAAAGAAGACAAACTCAAGTGTGTAGGCTATCCTAGATGAGCACGCTGCAAGCTATTGTTTATCTTACTCAGAAAAAGCGCCGCTTAGAATAAACAACTATACTGATAAGTCTATATCTCAAACTCGGGAGAACGTGGTATCTTCCACGAAAAGCTATACTCAAGCGTGAAATAGTAAACACACTCAATCTTCGAGTAGTCCCGATGAACATTGTTAAACAAATAGTCAACTCTTTAGCGGTAGCAATAAGTACTCATATATCAAAATCCATTAATGATAAATTTTTAAAACTTAATAATCGCAATGAAACCACCAAGTAATAAGCATCATCTTAAAATTTCTGAAATGCCGATGGCATACGGGATAAAAAACGGGAGCTCCAGGTGTCAACCAATAGAATATTGACCGCACTTCAATAGCAGAATCCCATTTGAAAAACGATAGTAAGTTTTATATACCAAATTATTATCGTCAAGATTAGGAAAACATGGGAGGCGGAGGAGTAGTTATACTTGTTAAGAGACATAAAGCGCTCATTAAATCTACCATATTTAAAAATCTAGAGGCCACCGGTTTATGCATCACTTAAAAAAAACTTGGTTTGACTAGTGGAAAATTACTGTAAACCCCACTAAATGCCATGCAATTATCTCAAGAACTCTATAGCAACATCTCTTCCTTGGTGCAAGCAAGTAAAATACCTTGGCGTTATTATTGACTCTAGACTTAACTAGAAACCTCTAATTAGTCATCTAGCTAAAAAAATTAAAAACTTTAACTTTTGCTTTATATCCTCTCATAAGCAAAAGAAGTTTTTAATCTTGAAAATAAACTTGTATATAAAGCTATTATCAGACCTATTATTAGTTACTCATCTGTTTCATGGTCTTACTGCTCGACTTTGCATAGAAACAGACTTCAAATTCTTCAAAGCGATCTCCTCAGAATGCTTACTGACGCACCTTTGTTTGTGCAAAATTTTCAATTACATCATAAATGGGACATTGAGCCCCTTTTGTTCACCTTGAACGGACGGCTACAAAATGCTTTACATGATACGGAGAACACCTCCACAACTTAATACCCACGCTTTGAACTATACCCCCGCACAATTATTAAAATTTAAATGACTTATTTTTTTTATCTATCCTAGAAAACCGAGTATTGAAACGTCCTTAGAACATTTATTACATGTCTATAATTTCTAAATTTTGGGGGTAAAAATGTGTTAAACACTTAACTTGTAAATACATCGCTGTCTTTATGTTAGAGAGATAACCCGAGAGGATTTAACTTGTAAAGGAGGCTACTCTCTTTAACCCTGTCCGCAATGAGGGAATTTGGATTAAGTAGTTTAAGTTATAGCAGATATAACGACAGTAGTATGTCAAAACGAAAAATAAATAAAAATAGAGAAGAAGAGATTTTTGATCTCTGCTTTAAGCCATTTCATCTATTATTTTGTTCGGATTTGGGCCCCTCCTATAGGTCTGGATTGGTCCGAGTTATAGCTATTAATAATTGTTATTAATTCTGATTTATAGGATAATCACGTAAATATATATATTTTTTTAGGTTGATGTTCCTAATAATTGATTAAACAATCTAGTTGTTAGTAAGCATCTAGTAAATAGGGAATATTGGTAATAGATAAAGTTTTTATTTTAACATTTTTAAGAAATATGCCATGACAGTGACATCGAGCTGCTTTCATAGGGCTTAATTAGAGATAGTATGTACATTATACTATGAAATATGTTAAATCTCCTTTTAACACTAGAGTTCAAAAACATAGCTGTTCTGGAATTTTGAGTTAATAAAAAAAGGCGTAATCTTTTGGGTTAAAAATATTGAAGACTTCAGACCTCCTGGGAGCCTGATAGCTTGTTAATCTGGTGAAATTTAAAAATTCCACCTCGCCAAAAAGTGGCTCCCCGGTTTAAGAGGACAGGTAAACATTTCTTAAAGTATTCAATCCTAACTGAAGAAAGCATTCTTTAATCCTCTTCTTCGCAAAGATAATTCCTTTATAAACGCTGCCAGGTTTCATTCATTTTCATACAATGCACGGAGTTTAATATAAACTATTTTTATGGGGAAAAAGAGGAGAATCTTTAGTTACAAGTTCTAAAAAGATTATAGTAGGAAAACTAGAGTTAATGGTAATTTTTGTAAACTAGCCACCAACTAAGGGTTCCAACAATAAAGGTAGGGCTAACTTTAATCCAAGCTACTTATTGTAAGGAGCAAAGGAATACTAAAAATTACTATGTTAATATTTATCTCTATTTAACAGGGACCGTGGTTTTTTTTGGTAGGCACCTACCTATCTTTCGATGCAAATTTTAATTTTAGCAAAATTTTAATTATGTATATTCACCTATAGTAAAAATACGACGCTTTTAACTCTATTGAAGACAATTAAATCAACAAATATTTCTTAATAACAACTTCCGTGAGAGAAAAATAACATTTTTTCTTAACCCAAAGCTGTTATATTAGTCTAAATTAAATCTACTCAGTCTATTGATACATATAATCAGGAACTTTTAAAACTTGTAAAAAATATTCTAAACTATTTAACACAAGTAACGGCGGCTAGTGAAATTATAATGGTTCACCATGCAATGCAGCCCTCTATTGCCTAGGAAATCTTGGTTGATACGGAGCTGCTTATCTTCCACTTGAAGCATACTTCGTTTTACCCGTCGCTGTGAGTTTGTTATGTCTAATTCTCAGGAAAACTCTTCGTCATGGGATAAATTGGTTTTTATCATAATTCATATACATGTATCTAAAAAATAATTTTTATCATTATTAATCTACATGTATCTAAAAATAAAATAAACTTTAATAACGTAATTATATTATTAATGTATAAAGGTTGAAGAAGAACTTAAAAGTATGTCAACCGAGGCCATAATTTCAAGAACTCGAGCTATAGATAACGAAATAAAAGTAAAATTTATAATGTGCGGAGACTTTTTTATTTCTTAGTTATACTTTTGATTATTAGATTTACAAAAACGAGTTGAGTAGATTAACCCATGAACAAAATAATACCCAAGAGAAAATAAAGGATAATCAAGAAAAACTTAAACTTAACAAGCAGTTACCATATCTTGTGGCTAACGTTGTCGAAGTGGGTGTAGAAATAAAAAGTTTTTAAAAGGTTTCGAGTTTTATTGGTTTATTACAATTTTTTTATAGCTTCTGGACGTGGATCCTGATAATGCCAGTAGCGAAGAGGGTGCAAATATTGATTTAGATTCTCAGCGTCAAGGAAAATGTGCTGTTATAAAAACTTCTACAAGGCAGGTGTCTACTAATTTCCAAGACTTTTTACAGTTCACTATAAATATCTTAAATAATATATTTTTTCTTTACTTCTTTCAGTACTTCTTTTCTAAAAATTTAAAGTTTAAACTTATAACTTTGCACTATTATGATATATTTAAAAGTAACTAACGAACTGACTAAGATGCTCTCCTTCTTTTTTAATTATTAGCATAACTATTATAGACGATTTTTCTACCAGTTGTGGGTCTAGTGAACCCTGAAACCTTGAAACCTGGCGATCTTGTAGGCGTGAATAAAGATTCGTACCTTATTTTGGACACGTTACCTCCAGAGTAATTTTCCTTTTATATATTTTTTAGTTTATAATTTAAAATATAATGACCAAAAGATATGACTCTCGCGTAAAGGCAATGGAAGTTGAGGAAAGACCCAAGGAAGATTACTTTGACGCTGGTGGACTCTCCGAGCAGTTTGAGGTGTACTATCCATTTTACCAAAAAAAATTTGAGTTTTGACTAAAATGCTAATAATTAAATTTAATAAAAATATTTACTTTCTACTTTGTATGACATCTGCTTCTCATTTGAAAAAGGAACTAGTTGAAGCTGTTATACTTCCGATGAATCAAGGGGATAGATTTAAAACTATTGGAATAAAGCCACCGAAGGGCATGTTTTATATAAGTTTTCTTAAAAAAAAATTACATACGCTTTGGTTAGTCATCTACCCTACATATGTCTTTTTGGTTTGCTACTTTAAATATTAACAATTTGAATTTATAGGTGTTTTACTGTACGGCCCTCCTGGAACCGGAAAAACTCTTCTTGCTCGCATCTGTGCTGCTCAGTGCAAAGCAACCTACTTAAAACTAGCAGGCCCGCAACTCGTTCAAGTAAATTTTATAAATATTCCTTTTATTTTTGAATCTTTTATTGAATTATTAGAATTTGTTTATGAAATTATATATATTCCTTAGATGTTTATTGGCGACGGCGCCAAGTTGGTCAGAGATGCGTTTGCTTTAGCAAAGGAAAAGGCGCCCGCCATTATTTTTATTGACGAGTTAGACGCTGTAGGAACCAAACGTTTTGACAGGCACTTTCTTTATTTTTGTTGAACGTAGTAGCGCCGTACCTCTACTTTTGTCCTCCTATTATACTATATATACGTGATACATTTAATTTTTATATTAGTTTATATATCTTTTTGTCTTCCTCTTGGAATTTCATCCAGAATAATTCTTCTGTATATACATATTTTTAGAATTTATATTTTGTGAAGCTCTGTTTAGCAGACATGTTTTGATATGATTCGAGTATTTTTTTTGCAGCAAACTTTGTGCTGGGACAATTTTAATTTACTATTGTAGTGCCCGTTCTTTCTGAAAAACTAGTAATTTATTTTTTTCTAGAAGGCATTTGAAAGTTATTACTGTTTTCTATTATTGATTTTATATATTACCTAAGCACTTAAATTAGTTAAAGCTAAAGTTATTTTATCTTTTGCTATATTAAAAATGCAGCAATATTTTACTCTATATTAAATTAATACTTTTATTTATGTTTTATATAGTGAAAAAGCAGGCGATCGTGAAGTCCAGCGCACTATGTTAGAGCTCCTCAACCAGCTTGATGGCTTTGGTTCGGACGAACGCATTAAAGTCATAGCTGGTCTTAAATTTCTTCATACTTTTTAATATGATCCTTAAGTAATTTGCTTTAACCCTGTAAAAGTTTTATTTTCTTCGGTCTGTTATTATTGCTAAATAATAGCTTTTCTATGGCTATTTTTTAAATAAATTGCTATTTTTGTAATTTTTATAAACTATAAGCTGAACTCATAATTATCTTTTTTATTGATTCTAACTCCTAATAATTAAATTTTTTGTAGGAAAGTAATTTTTTATATACTACACAATTTATAACTATGGTGTTGCTATAAATAGTCATAACGGTTTTGTATTAAACATAAGCCACCAATCGGGTTGATATACTTGACCCGGCTCTTCTTCGCTCCGGTCGACTTGACAGAAAAATAGAATTTCCGCTTCCGAACGAGAAAGCACGAAAGGAAATTATGCTTATTCATTCTAGAAAGGTGTCTATTTTTTTGATGCTCTATATTTTGTTTAATTTATTTTTTTTAACTGCCATATAATAAATATTTTAAATAAAATTTACTCTTTCAAATCTTATACACATATATTCTCCTTATAAAACCTCAAGCGGCTAGGGAACGAAGCATCTGTTTATGAGATTATTTTAAATAGACTTATTTTATTAATTTTATAGTACTAAGCTGTTCGTATTTCCCCCAAAAGGGACTAGATAATTTTTACTATGGCCCCAATAGTTATTCTTTGAATTGTCCTCTTCTAAAGAGTAAGATAGTTAACGGTACTAGATAATAAAATTAGGGAGATTTAAGTTACTGAAAGAGATTTTTAAATTAACGATTGTATTATCTTCAGATTCTTATAAGGTTCATTAATAGATGACTGTTGACATGAACGTTAATTTTGATGAGCTGGCTCGTTGTACGGAAGACTTTAATGGCGCACAGTTAAAAGCCGTCTGTGTAGAGGTTAAGTGTTTAGCATTCTTTATTTTAATCCTTTTTTAAAGTTAATTTACAGTTATTCCGAATATAAAACTAAAGAAACATTTATAATTTCTAAATAAATATCGTTATGTGTTGTATTTATATCTTGTTAAGGCTGGCATGATTGCTTTGAGAAGAGAAGCCAAACAAATTACTCACGAAGATTACATGGAAGGTATGCGCTTACTGTAACCATTTCCTAATTTTCCTTAGTATTTTATTATTAGGGATTCAGGAAGTTATGTCTAAAAAGAAGGCCAACCTTACTTATTATGCTTAATTTTTTCCTATAATATATACTTTGGTTTCAGTTTGTAATAAATTATGTAGTATTTTAATATAAAACTTTTTGATTCTCTGTACTCCTTTAACATGACTCCCGCATCTTACATATAAATATTAGTAGGGCTCTAGTAAAACGTAGCTATTTTGATTATATAACTCCCAAAGAGTCTTGTAAAGTATATAACAACCTGCTTTTGCTATAATTTAGTTTCATAAATTTTGTTTAAGTAGTATCAGCGAAAGAAGTAAATCCAAAATATTTACCTCAACCAGACTAAGACGGTTTTTGTGCGTAGGACTTTCACGTTAGTAACCCCCCTTAATAGTTAGATATACACGTTAAACTAAATATACTTATTCTTATAAAAATGTAGTCACGTCTTTTTTACGGAGTTACTAAGCGATTCTATAACCGAAGGACGCTTAAAAATAATAAACACCAATATTGTATATAAACATTTCACTTCGTCGTACACCAAGCTTTGGAGTGTATACTTCTGGGTCAAGAGGCCAGCACTACTATATATACAAATTATTAAACCAGTTTTTTTTAATGTAATAAGAGAAAACTGTTGAACGACTTTTTTACGTAGTTATAAAAAATAGAAATTAATAAATTTGAATAATTTTAAATCCCGAATCATATTGTTAACTTTACCTGACCATTAAATGAAAAGAGACTTAGGAAACATACAAATAAAATTTAATTTTGTGCTAAATTATCGAATATTTGAGTGGAGTATTACTAAAGTTGCTATTTTAGTGAGTTGGCGTTCACTTCGAGAAAGACAACTATTGTTCCTCCAAAAATGCTAATCTGGTATTTTTGAAGCTAAAAAATATATTGTACAAGTAAAATCTGTCAGATGTCTAAATTAATGTTATTATCCGGGATGCTACCATCTAAACATAATAAAAAGTCATCAAAAATATTTAACTTTTTTTTTTTTACAAAAAATAAGTTTAACTGTAAAAGCAGTCGCTCAACTTATAAATCAAAGCCTGCTCTGTACTAAGTAACAGAGGAAAAGTTGCATATTTTAACTGACTGTATTAAAAATAAAAGTTTTCTATACATGCTAACTGTGTAGTGGGTAAACTTTATAAAGATAACTTTCTTAAGGGAATAAAACAAAATTTTTATTAGAGCACCAAAAAAATGCATCAATTTTGATAACGCTGTGCTAGTTTTAAATTGTACAGCATATCTCTAAGCTCATAAGAAGGAATATTACGTTCCGGTAGAAGTAAAGAAGGTACATAAGCCTTAGCAAGAGGCTCAGTTTCAGGACAAAGATTCGCCAATAAAGCTATTTCAAATTCATATAACCCATGACCATTCAAAATTTTTCTGGCATTTTGAACAGCTTCATGAGTTTTAAAGTTATTAAATCTACTCAAAAAAAATTATTATAAAAAAAATTTCAATCTAGTCAGAAAAACCAAACCTTTCACAATAAAGTAAAGCATTTATAAAGTTTTGATCTTCTGCTCTATCCCAGAGGTCATCATCAACAGTTTTTTCGGCAGCCTGCTTAATTTCTTGTAAAATTAAAGCTACTTCACCGTTAAATAGACAAGGAGCATTCTCAAATTCTGGGCCAAGCTTTAACTCACTGGCATCCTCCTGTTCTGTAAAGGACATTAAGACTATCAAACGTGTACATAAATCATTAACCAGGAACGCAAGTTGACACCGAAGCTCAGCGTGTCGGCGAACACTTTCTGGTATTGGTTACGTTTACATCTTACGAACAAAATCGGGTGACGATCAACCCCCCTTAGCTTGAATAAGTGGTTAGGTAAAGCATCTACCATAAATTACTTTCAAAAGATTTTTTGAGTTCGTGAAAGGTTAATAAGGGCATTAAGTTTGGTCGAGGTATAGTTACTACGTCCACTTATATAAGGACCATCAGACTTCGAATATTAACCAAATAACGTAACCTTATAAATCCAATTGACAGCTAAACTCTTCATTCGTGGGCATTAATATTAGAGGATTAAATAAAGATGTGCCTTTTACATAAAGACAGTGAAATTACTTGAAAATTTTGGCATAAAAAAACCAAGTATGCTTCCTAACCAATGAGTAATGGGCCCCTCTGGTGATTTTAATGGTATAGACTCGCTCTAGTATATTAAATTCGACCATATTAAAACTTATGTATGCCAAACAAATTAGGAGGTGTCCGGGTGGCAGTAGTGTTTCAGAATTAACGGCGAGAAGACCGCAGTAGTTAAAGGACGGATATACTCTCATGTAGGATTCCCTTTAATACGATTGAAAGGTGAAAGAACTAAGAATAAACGACTGTTATAAAAGGCCATAGGTGGTCATCTGCCTCCGCTATTTATATATGCAAAATCTGCTCACTAACTAGGAAATGTTCCGCAATAAACAAGTTATAAATATATAAAATTAACGGATACATGTGCTAATGACGGTCAGCTAACCAGAGGGGCACCAGGCTTAAATACTAATTTTAAAAAGTGAATAGCTGAAAGAGTTAAGAAACTAATTTATGAATTTAAAGATATTAAAACAAGGAATTGTGGTTTAGATATTAGAAGTTAATTGCCAGGCAAAAACAATGTAAACCACCTACCTGCCAGGTCAAGGCAGCGACTCGAGTGTTACACACTCTAATTTGCGCCAGCGATGGTTTCCTCGCTTTAATTGTGACAAAATAAGCTGCTTCTGTTCATAGAGGGCGAAACGATGCTTTCCACAGGTCCACCTTCAACTAGAGTCTCTAGCTAATGTTTCTTAACGCCAATTTTTCTCTCTACGAACGGATAATTGACCATATCTATCATCAGTTCACTTAATAAAGATAGTGCAGTGCACGCTATCGCCTCTCCGCATGATGCTCTATATAAGTTTTATTCATATCTTTAGGATAAATGTTAGGCTAGAGTAGAGGAAAGGGGATTAAGGTATTGTACATGCAAAGACGCGAGAAGATATCTACCTTTGCTTTGGAACCACGCCAAAAGATTAAGGCCCACCTTGAAGGGCCAATAAATCATCTATTAAAATAACAAGCACTAACAAATAAGCCCGAGTTTTTGGTTTGTTGCCTATACTGAGTACCAAGAAGAACCATGCAGACCAATTAGGGGAAAAATCCTGCTTAGGGCGCCTTATTATAGGTTCCCATTTATGGTGTCCTTTATCATGCATTTAAAAGTAATTATAATTATTAGCGAGCTAGTTTCCCATATAAACTTAAAGCTTGACTCGCCTAAAGACAATGAGGTATTTAAACCTAATTCTTTTACCAGAAAGGGTACCTTTAGTAAACTTTAAAATGTATATAATTTGTATAGTCAGGAAGTAAATTCGGAAGAAGTCGTCTATAACCCCTTGACCATTTACCTGTTTGAGTTAAATAAAGAAAATTTATCTTGGCTTCCGGTTTTACAAAAACCATTTTCTATTATTTTTTTAAGAAATAAAGTATTAAACACGACTAGGTTAACAAATATACTATGCTTTAGAGAAATATGTATACTATTAAACCTTATAGAATTGTTGCCGCTGAAAATGTGACAAAAGTTTTGGATTATACTGTATCCCCTAATTCTCAATTTAAAAAAACTTCTACCACTTTTGGGCAATGGAAAGACCAAGTTAATAACCAACTGTATGGCATAAAGTTTACTAACGAAGATGATTTAAATAAGGCTACCTTTTTTATACATAATTTAAATAATTCATATACAACTACTTATAGTTTGTAGGATGGTTCCAAGAATCCGAAGAGTTAGCAGCAAAGGGCCCCTCTTTACCTTTTGAAGATATACCAAAGCCAGATTTAGAAAGTTTACAGGCTGATACTTTTGAAAAAGTCAGTGCTGTGACAGAAGCAGAACACCCTTGGAGACCTGCTTGTATACCTTTTAGATGCGACTTCAGCGTTTATAATTGTGGCTATCAATTTCTAGAATTATAACTAATTTCTTGCACAAAACTTGACCTTCGTATAAGTTAAACTAAATTTATATAAGTAAATCCTATGGAAGACTTACATTTTTAACGAGGATTTTTTATATATATATAAAAGCCTTACCAACGGAGTTATTACTCCCTTCAACAGAGAAAAAGTGTACGTTCTTAAAACAATCGTTTCTCCAGGAAGACTTATATTCTACAGGGGATCCTTCAACCGAAATCGATTTAGAGGTTTTAAATTTTCTATTACTCTTTTAAAAGTGTTCTTTGTTTTCCAGTTCAATAACTTTATCTTATATAAGATTCCTAATAATCTAAAAATAATGTAGGAGGCGTACTCCTCCGATCACGAGACACTTGAGCGCCAAGCTTTACGCTATGAGATGAACGAATTGATCAAGGAGGTAAGTATATCCGCTTGCGCGTATAGCAAGATTTTGCTTGGCTTACAATTATAAGCAAAGACTGGGAAAATTATGCTAAGATTTTTCATATACTAAAGCTATATTGCAATAAAAGGGCGATTACTTGAAAAAGGGGCTTCAAATAAGTCTGATAAACGCAGAAAAGTGGGAAAAAGAATTAAAAAAGTCAAGTGCTAACAAAAATCTTCTCCTGAAGTATATGATTTGCCACGTGGAGGCATTAGTAAAATGGAAAAAAACTCTTGCCGAACATAAAGAGACCAAAAAAAAAGTCACAAAGCTGCTTAAAGACTTGTCCAGAGTCTCCACTAAAATAAGCACCTGCCTAATAGACTAATAAAATACAGCCGTTTAAGCTTGATTGTCAGTCAGTCAGACTTGTAGGATTGTAACTTAGAAGATATAGATCAAATAAGACACAGTAGTAGTACATTTTTTATTAATAAAGTGGAACCCTGCTGCGGTTAGTTCACTCTACCACCGCAATGCTGGCGGCGTACTCGCCGGAATGGCTTATGGAAACGCGCAAGTGCTTGATGCCCGCCTGCTCTACAATGCGCTTCGCTTCCTCGTGGCAGACGACGTAGGGACTTCCAGAGGGGCCGGGGAGTATTTCTATTTGCTTCAAGGGAGCCCCCGCGCTCTGCCAGATGTTTTTCGCTTGGACATCGAAGTTGCTGACGGCTTTAACAACGGCTTCTTTGGCGCACCAGCGACCGGTAAAGCTTGAGTGGGGATCGGGCTGAGAGCCGCAGTAGGCAATTTCCTGCGCAGTAAAGTTCCTTTCCAGGAAAAATGCATTTTCGATGTTTAACGAAGTTAAAGGTTCGATATCCAAGCCGACCCCTCTGGGCAACGCCGCATTGAAGCGATTGTCGTTAAACAACTGGGTTCCCTCCGCAAGACTCTCTAGCAGTTGTTGTCGGACTTTTAACGAAGTCATGTGCTGTATTTTTAAATCGGTATCGGGCATTTCCACGACCGTACTCGTGTCATCTGTAAAGATCCACGTGCGCTTCTCTTTAGAGTAGCTCGCCCGGAGAAGAGGGTTCAAATAAACGGCCTTTTCCGTTTTCTTATCGTAAGGCGGCTCTGTCTTTACAGGCACAAAGGGGATCTTGAGCGCGAGAGCATCGTTTATATATTTGTATGCGCGTCCTTCACGTTGGTTTCTGAAGATAAGTAGAATCAGCGCGACAAGTAAAAAAAGAATCGGTAGTGCGGACTCGACCTCTTTGAGCGATAAGCCTCGTAGGCCTCTTTAGACAGACTTCCCAAGACGTAATCAGGATGGATCACGAGAGACTCCCCACCAACTTGCCTAGATATTTATTACAAAATATCAACAGCAACCGCAATTCCTTATCTAGTAAACAACCCGAATCCAAAGCATTGCAGTAGCGCAGCCCTTATCTTATGCGCAGGATAGAGTGTGCGGGAGGGGTACAGTATATAATCAAAATTTTCAAAAGCAGCATCAATATTGTCGGCATTCCGGTTTCCTAGCCAATCAGTATAGAAAGTTAAGCATTCCCTAAAGTCACTCACCAGTCGGAAATGGGAGAATTACCCGGAATAATATTGTATTGCAGGATTTGCAGAATACCATTCAACATGAAGGAACCCGCAGCAGCCTTGGGATGGCCAGTCAAGTACTTCTGAAAAACGCCGGGGCAGACGTGGCCGGGTTCCCTGCCAAGGTGGGCCATTTTGGTTTGCAGAATTTGAGACTCATTGAGGTCGTTCGCTTTAGTGCCTGTCCCATGAAAGGAAACAACGCCAATATCGTCCACAGTCAGATTGTAAACACTCAGTGCGCCTGCGGGGAAGAGAGCGCAGTGTAAATAGTGAGCAGGCAGCCACCACCCGCTGCACAGACCTTTTAAGGGCGATATGCGAGGATCTTTATGGTAAAATTCGTGGCCGTAGTAGCGAATCAAGGCCTTCAGTTTTCTCTGCGAGTCGCTACGTAACTCATTTACGTGCAGATCATACGATAGTGTATCCGATTTACAAACTTCCTTTGCTTTCTGCAGTAAATAGGCAAGCGGGGTAGACATTTTTACAAAATAGGCCCACTACCTGTATCGCCTCGTGAAGTTGTTTGTCGATGATCGCGCTTTGAGCCTGTATCTGCTGCTGGCGGTAGGCAAAGTTCAGAAGCATCGGCTCGAGGGAAGTTGGCGAGGTGATCTCCCGTGCAGTCGTTAAAATTCCTGCAAAATGTAGCTATTAGCATCCTGTCCAACGACATAAGAAAGAAAAGACCCTGGCCGGGGGCAGGTAGGGAGCGGCCCTCCTTATCCGTTGCTGTGCACACGTGAGCTATAATGCCGTAAATGGGTAATCCCATTTTTATGGCAAGAGATGCGGACACTAAAATTTGATTTCCAGCGCCTGTCCGCCACAAACGTTATGCTAATGTCGTAAATAAAAAGTAACAAGGGTGCCTTGTGCTTCCATAAAACCGGCGCGAGAGCTAGTGGCTGGCCTCGACATCTCACGTGGCGTCCTACCCATTTTAAATTCCTCAGTACTGCTACTTGAGGCTCGCATTTGTGCGAATTCGTAGGACCCTGAAAATTTTGTGGAAAGAACAGAAATTTATGCGTTATTCACTGGCCCAACCAGACTCCTGAAAGTCATCGCATCCGCCCACAATGACTACTTTAGCCTTCTTAGTTAAAATGGTCTCCACGCCCACTTCAAGGGATACGACGGAGGTGGCGCATGCACCGACAGGAGCCTATCATTAGTAAGTGTTGAGAGAAGTCAGAAAAAGTGCAGCACTGCAAAAAACTAAACTACAAATAATTGTACCTTGATAGGGCCAGAAGAGCTCAGGAGTAACATGTTGACCCATGCTGCCAATGAATTAACAAATGTTTCTTGTAAAATATCGCCTTTTGCAAAGTAATGAGCGTATAAAAGAGTGCAGTACTTTATTACAAACTTTGGATCGAAAGAGGATCCATGCACCTCTCCTTATAAACCCGCACACTGGACTTAACTCCGCCCACGCTGCTGCCCGTCACATTGCCGACTTCGGAGACGTGCACGTATTCGTAAAGTTCGTACGGGTCAGTAATTCCGCTGCACACGAGAGCTTCAACCGTAGAAACCAAGTTGTACTAGAGTACCACGTGACAGCATGAGTAAGAGTCGTAGAGGAAAGTGGTAGAAGAAACCAGAGTCACAGGATCGAATCGATCGACAAGGTCGGACGGCACACCGTAACGCCGGGCGTCCCAACCCGTCGGGATCTGGCCTGCCACCACTCTGTCGAATCGGAGTGCTTTGGGGATGTAAAGCTGGCAACCCTTCTTGAAAACTACCGACCAGCTACCCTCCTGATTCAGAAAGATATCGACTTTCTCTAGCGCCGTAAAAAGGAAATTCCATATACAATGAGAACAAAATTCCACAAAGTATGTGTAGTAAAAAGACCGCCATGTTCAAGTAAATACTGCTCGGCCTCCTCTTTTGAGCAGTCTACAGGGCCAAGTTCCCGCTCAATGACAATCTGCTGGATAAACTGTTTGCGTTCAGGGTTGTACCCTTCGAAGAGCTCAGGCTCGATCAACCGAATCCCTTCACGAGACATAAGATTCCAATGGCAGGGACCCCCTTAAAAAGACCACCTGCATGGGAGAGAATTCTGTCCTCAAACTTCTCCTTAACCTCGTAATCGCCAACGGGAGTATTTTTTTCAGTGTCTACCCAACCAGAGTAGTCTTTGCCCTCAAGCAGGCCATTGTGGTATTTAATAAAGCCCATCATCCACGCCCTTTATTGAATAGCATTTACAAGTTGTTTCACAACCCCAACAGTATTTCTCTACATTTCAACGCAGCCTTCCAGAGAAAACTCGCCAAAAGCCTCCATGTCCCAACGTGTACGCGAGCTTCCCCAGGGTCCCACTTCGCCATAACCCGTCACAACCACAACACTGTCTGCCAATAGAGGGAGGTTTGGAAAAACGAGCAAAATAGTAAGGAAGCGGAAAAACCCAAGTCCAAAGTAAAATTTGGAGTTGCAAATTCGTTCTGCAGGCTTTCCCAGTCGAGCAAGCGTGGAAATTCAATTTTTATATTAGCCAGTCTATTGGTTGTGGTCTCTAAAAGTTCCTCAGTATTGGTCATAACCCCATTTTTTTCTAAAAGGAGCAATGTTGCTTAGTGAGGGTATTTCGGTCCAACGAGGTAGTACCTTTTTCCTTCTCCCTGTGCAGCGCTGATAATATGGATGACTGTTCTGCGATATGCCGCCGAATTTGCTTCATTTTAAGGTCAAAATCAGGAACTCGAAGTATTCCGCCTATACATAAAGGCTAAGCACTACGTGTTATGCAGAGAACTAATTATATAACCAACCGGAGATGTCCGCCAAAACGGGAGAGCGAGATACTCTGGTCACTAAGTCCTCGTTCATCAGCGACAGCAGGGACAACACAATCTCTTGTGTCGAAAAAGTGCGAGCTCCAAGGGACTCGACTCCCTCAGAGACAATATTGTTGCTTTGCGTCAACGTGGTGCCTCTAGTCCAGCCAATGCAAGCGCCGACAAGTGCAAAGTACTGAGCCCAATCCTCTGTCCTCCATTTTCTCAGCACGCTTTCAAGGCCGAGCTTCGACTCCGAATAAAGACCATCAAAGCCGAAAATGCCTGCAGAGTAGGCAATAAGTGAGGTTTATGAGGGTTTGCACCAGCAATTAGCTACCATGGTTAGGAGACAAAGGAAGAAAGACGGTAGACGGATGGGAATCCATGCCCCTCTGACATTTCTTTATTTTAATTTCACCAAGAAGACGAAGCGTGTTAGTTAACATGACTCGATGAGCCAACTCTGAACCACAAATAGTTGTGGATGCACACGAGGCCAGAGTAGTAAAAGTAACTGCGGTTACCGGATTTATCATCAATATTATCGATGGACCGCCCATACTCGGGAATAGCTGCGAAGGGGAACACAAAGTCCGGGTCGGCATCTAATTCGTCGTAGATGAACGCAACAAGACTCTTCACGTCCTGTAGGGAGGCTTGGTTAAACGGGAGCAGCGTCAAAGAGCTTCCCTGCCCTGAAAAAAAAATATAAGTCGTGCAGAAAACTGCAAGGAAAAGAAGCCTCCACCTCCATGCCGTTCGTACTTGTGGCGGAACCTGTCCGTGGTTGGCTGGCTATAGGAGCTTGTGGTCACAATGACATTCCCGCCTGCTTCAAGCAGAGCATCGAGCAGAGCATCGCCGATGGAACCTGCAAGCCGTGAAATGGCAGGTAAAGCAGGGAAAGGGAGTCCGTCCTGTAAGTGGCTGACCTTTTCCACAACCAGTTACAAGGACGACTTTGTCTCTCAAGCAGAGTCCATAACTATTAAGGCTCGTCATGGAAGTGAAGGCCGCACTAGTCAAGTCTTTGTCGTAGCGCCACCCACATGGGCCCTGCGGCGAATACAACCGTACCGTCAGGGGGTCGTATAAAGCATGCATACTACTACTTGTTCTTGCAAGTTCAGGAGGGGAGCGGCCTCCTCAGATGCACAAAGGAACCCTCCAGAATTCTTATGAAGTGGGGAAAAAGTAAGATTAATCAGAAACGGCAAGATTCGGTGGCCTCTCTTACGAAAGGCAGACGGATTTCATCACAAAAATCCAGCGAGCGAGGGGCCTCCGAGTATACGGGTTTTCCTTTATAGTTAAAGAGAGTCTGCGGCTTCAGCGAGGTCTGAAGGGTGAGCAGATGACTCAACGGCAAGCCAATGAATCGCCAAGGAAGGCGTACCACTGCCACTTTGAGAACCGGCTGCTTGGCGCTTGCAGCTGCTTGCTGGAGAACTAAACTGGGATCCTGCGAAAGCACGTGCTGACAAAACCACTGGCCGGCATTGGTCTTCAAGAATCTGGCAAGGTCTTTCAGAAGAGCTGGAGTCAACCTACGGGCGACATAAAGTCTGGTAATTCCAAAACGAAGCCGAGTAATGCATGCCTGCATCTGCTAATTTTGTTCCACACAAGCAAAATGGATGCATTTTTTTCTTGAATGTTTAAGGAGCTTTCAGGAGGTATAGCTAAGAAAATATATGGAGAGAGCGGACCAGCAGCTGGGGTTCATCAGACCTTTGCTCAAACGCACGCATTCGTTCTGAAGCTCATAGAACTCCTGCCGAGCCCAGTTCCAATAGCTGTCGTATCTTCTTATTTTTTCCTTACTGAAAAGCCCTTGGATCCCTTCAATATAAGCTCTGCCGTGTTCTAATAAAGAAAGTTAAGGAAAAAATAAACATAACAGTCACGTGAAGGAAGTACCCATATCGAGAGCGGCCCGTTCGTCTGCCAATTTGTTGAGCTCTTCTTGAAGCGTATTGATTATTTTATAATGTTCTCTTCCCGTTCGGCCAAAAAACCGTTGAATGGCGGCCATATGGTCTTCCCAAATGGCGCGATGGCTTTTTGCGTCCTCACGGTATCCGTTTGGCGTACGCAAGTCTTGATAGAAGTAATGTAACGAACAGGCGAGAAAAGACAACAAATTCCAACCAGCAGGCGCGATGTGTGGCGCAAACGGAGCAACGGGAATCGTAACATTATAAACAGATGAGTACGTTTTCACAGTCGCGTCTAGCCAATTAGCTACGTCCAAACTAGTAACGAGCCTCTCAGTAGGCTCTAAAGTTAGCGCGAACAGCAGGAGTTGGTTGGTCATTCCGGGCCCGAAGCCGTACTTTTCTGAAGCGACGTGTCACAAGGAACTAGAGAGAGTAGCTTAGAATAGTTTACCGGATAGAAGAGCCCTCGTAGAGCTCATATTATGACCAGCGGGAAACTTGGAAGTAAAAAGACGCTCGAAAAGCAACTTGAGCTTACGCCCGAAGGGTTTGTAGTTCTCTACGCTGTGGTTGGTGGAGTTGAGCCCACACAGTCATTTCATTGAAACAAAAAAAACCTCTTAGCAAGGATCGCAAGCGGCACGCTTTCCAGGTCGCTGGAATCCCGGAAGGAGCGGCCAAATTCTGCCTCAATGTCGCTGAGAAGTTCGTTCTGAAGGGCCGAGCGGCCACCAGACATCATCTGGATTGTGCTGGAAGGCGATACTTCGTTGAGCTGGTAATGTAACGGAAGTGAAGCAAGTGATTGGAGAAATTCTTATATCTATATAGACCTTTTTCCTAAGTTTCAAGGCGACCAGTGTTCGGATGCACTCCAATGGCGAGACTTCAGAGTCCGGTATAGAAGCAGCTTCTGGAGAGAAGAAAGCAATATCATGCTTTAGCCTCCACGGGCTTTCCAACGTGACTACCAAGTGGGGACACAAACGAAGAGGGAGTCCCAAGAACAGTAGTTGGCGCTTGACCTTCTAGGACCACACGCTTGCGTAGCCCAAGTTTTAAAGCTTAACAAAGTTTGAAGTTAGTGACTCTTTTTATATTAAACAAGAAACACTTCAACGGTATAAGCTGCAGCCCGCCAATTTTTTAAAAAAAATGCACGAGACTTAGTGACTCACCGCAGTCATCAATAAGCTGGTAAGCAGCAGTATCATCTTTTAAGCGGGCGCTGGGTTCGGACCACAAAATCTTGGCAAGGAAGTACAAGAAAGCCGTGAGAAACACAAGCGGCCAGCAACCTGAACCACGAGATTATCGGCGCAGCTTTCCCGCAAGCCGTACTCCACGCTAAGATAGTCATACATTTTTTGCACGGAAAGGCCAGCGGGAAATTTTAATGAAAAAAGCCGGGAAACTCTATTTTTCAAAATCTTCCCGAAAGTTCCCGAAAATGAGCCTTTCAAAAATACACTTAAAATAAAGAAAACGAAAACTAATTAAGTTAAAACCGGCCAGTCGTGTGTCGAGCTCGCTAAGTGGTATATCTTCCAGACCTTCAATAGGAGTGGACAAAGAAAGTTCTGCGCTCAGGTCACCCTTCACGAGGGTAAGCATCGGAACAATTTAAAACAGGTGTGATTAAAGGCAACCAAAATCTCGTTCTGGACGGTGCTGTTCCCGCCGGAGAGACTTTTGATGGAACTGCTCATATCGATGTCCTCCGGCCGCCTTTTAATTTTTGCAGCGACCAACGTCTTGAGGAGAGTACTCAGCGCTAATGGAAGTGCGGGCGAAGAAATAGGCGGAGCAGGCTGGAGTGGTAGAGAGGGCTGCGCCACAGACCATTCAGACAATAAAGACGAACAGTTGAGTCTTTTAGTCACAAGAAACCGGCCTTTTTGGTTGGGAGGGGGGGGTCCATCTTCTCAGTGGCGATGCCTTCATCTGTAGGGGCAGGCGCAAAGTTGTAATAGATGAGATGGGCATCTTTCTCCACGGACAAGACGGCTCTCTTCCTCAACGCCACTTTGTCCCCTTCGACGTACTTTAAGTTTATTGTTCTTCTAGCCATTCCTGTAAGATACAAAAGAAGCAGTAAAAACCAGAGTTTTGGTATACAACAAAAACAAAGAAGTACCCGAAAGCACCGGGTCAGGTCCAACCTCAATGAAGCGCTCAATGTTTTTAACGCCTTAAAGGGCCATGTATAAAGACATGAGGAAGGAGGAGAACAAACTTACCAAAAAAAAAGTCCTGAGTTTTTATCCACTGCACCGGAGAAGCGAACTGATAGGCCAGAAGTTCGACCAACATGCAATAACCCACGCGCTGTCTGTCAGCCGTTGACATACGTCCGCTCTGCATAAGTGCTCTAGCAGTGGCCAGCTCTGGGTTGTTGCCGGTGGCCTTCAAGACCTACAGAAAAGCAAAATGGTAAAAAACAAAAAGTAAAAGGGCAGCACACAGGGCTCGTGTTAACTGCTTCAAGGAATGAAGTGGTCAATTCAAAAGGCAGAGCGACTAAGTTGGGCACATATCGGCCGAGCAGAAGGTCAAAGTTGACCTCCTCTCGAAGATGCAACTTCAAACACGACCGAAAGGAACCGACCCCATTCAACAGAAAGCGTGAGTGGAAGGGAACGTCCAACCCAGCTAGCGGGATGGTGGCCACTCCTCGTTCCAGCGGTGTCCGACCAGGCTGCATTGGAGAAATGGAGGGACGTCAATACAAAGCGGAAAGCATTGAGCTATAAAGAAGACCAGGCTACGTATGGCAGTCAGGTGAGTGGCGACAAGTTCATGCAGCAGCGAATCGGTGGGGACCTCCGCCACACACAAGCAGTTTCGCTTGAGATGATTTAAGACGTTAGTAAGAGTGGCCAGCGCTGCCGTGTGGCCTATTTCACAACACAGTGAGGCTGGACAGGGTCTCTAGAAAAGCTATGGCAAATGAACCTGCCACGACGTACTGCCAGTTCTCAACATTGTGATTCACAATATCTAAGAGAAACCCCGAAGCCTCCGAAATGATGCCGCAAACATAACTCAGACGATTTTTATTAAAAAAGGAGCCAACAAGACTGGGATTGACTGCCAACATTCCTACAGCGAGGCTGTCAGGGGGCCACCAGCAATGGAAAAGCACACAAACTATACCGAATTTAGAGAAACCATCCGAATCTCTCTTAACAGAAGAGCGCATGGTCATGCCTACCACCACGAGGTGTATTAGATATAAAGAGTCGTTGCTAAGAATCGAGCAAAACCTCTATAAAACACAACGTCCATCAGCGAGTCGTAGGGGAAAAAATTCCCAAAGGCTGCCAGAGCAGCAAACTCGCCAAGACTATGGCCAGCAAAAAACGCATCTTTAACCACATGAAGAAAAAAACCGAATAAGTCTCGGCGAAGAAAGTTATATAGTAACGAACCCGTGGGAACAAGGCCATGTGCCTTCATGTCCTCGAATGCTGCTAGCTCGTACAAGACCATGGCGGGCTGCGTGAATTGTGTCGCTGACAGAAGTCCCATGGGGTGCGTGAAAGTGTACAACGGCGTGTGCTCAGTAATGCTCGGGAAAAGTGGAAGAGTCTTCAAATGCCCTATAGGACGCCGCGAGGGTTGGAGATGAGCCAGGGTTACGTAAGCAGCCAATACCATCGTCGTCATAAGAGTCGCAGGTCAATGACATGTACAACGCCCGAATCCGATTTCCCTTCGTCCCGCCGAAGTGCACGCGGTAAGTTTTAGGATCCTTCCGCACCTTGAAGATTGGTCTTAAATAAACGGTGGAAAAAAACAAGAATGTGGAAAGGGAGGTATACGATATCTATAATGGAAAAGCCATAGTGGTCGCGAAAGTAGCGATCAGCAGCGTCCCAGACTTTTTTGGCGTGCGGCGACTTCTCGTATAAGTCCATGCCCATGCCCTTTCTTTGAGCTCCCTGGCCGGTGAAAACAAAAGCTGTAGTTGGCTGCTCTACCCCGGCTGCCCCTCGCAGGACAAGAACGCCTATCAACATCAGATTTATACACACCCAAACGAGGATGCTCACAGGATAAATACCATTCTGATTGGCAGCCTCCAAACGAATAACCATGTGGCCATTTGCCATGGCCACATGGGTCAGTTTGACTTTAAGCTGGTCCCCGGGTAGCACCATCCCTTCATAAAAAGCACAGACCGATTATAGGCGCATGCAGTACTAATAGCAACGGTCGTGCCTACCCAAAAACTGAACGTCGTAACTAACGATCCTGGATGCTTGCCCATTGGCGACTATCATCTCTATCACGTGCCGACACGCGGTGGAAGTCCAATGACCATGAACAATCAGACCGGAGAGGTCTGAAAGACTGGCTAAGTACGGATTCACGTGAATGGGGTTAGTGTCGCCAGATGCCAACGCGTATCCTGCATTCCCGAAAAAACCGTAAGTTTCTTGGTGGTGTCCTGCTACAATGCCGCCTGACCTCTACAGTCCACCGGCGCCACGAGGTTTGCAAGAGGGGAGGAGTTGTCCAAAAGAGAGTACTCGCCACCCGCAAGGGCGACTTCCTCTTCACAGTTTCTGCCATGCCGAGATAAATAACTGGATACAAATAAGTTGAAAAACTGATAAGCTACAAAAAAACACATCCTTTACTCACCCAAAAACTGCATTCACCATCACGTTTTCCTCTTTATAAACCACGTGACCAACCAATTTTGTGGGATGCATGAAAGTCTTTAGGGTCACTGTTCCTGTTGTTTCGTAGCTCCGCTTGTTACCTTCTCCGCGCTGCACGGTGGACAGCTCGAAGACCAGCACGTCTCCGGCTTGGACTAAATCCAAAAAGGAATCCATGAGAGCCACTCTTACGCCCACGAGGCGTAGGTCTAACCCTCATAACCGTCTGCCCAATGAGCCCAGGGTTTAGCCGCCAGAACTGCTGCAGCCTCCTTGGAGATCAGCTGTACCTCGTAAACCGGCCCGTTCTTCTTTTCAAATGATGGCAGACGAGAGTGTGCGGACACAGCAGTTCCTGTGGCAAATGGATTGGTCATTAACTAGGAAAAACAACCAATGGGTAAGAAGTAAACCGTCACCTCTGTACATGAACTCGGAACGGAGTTGCAGCACAATCTTATTACGATGTTGGCTCCGAAGAAGAGCGGAAATGTCCAGAGTGATGTCGCCGTGAATGCCTTGTTGAACTTTATAAATTTCGGCGGTAGTTTCGATGGTGTCGCCTTTACCGTATAAAAGATCAGTGCAAAAGTTTAATGAAACCAACAAACATTACCAGCAACAAGCGCTGGAAGCACAGTTTCCCGTTTAAAAAAATCCGACAAATGGAGCTACACAAAAAAAAAGTCTCCTAATACGTGAAACAGCACCATGTGTCCATCAAAGAGACCATGTGAGTAAGATCGGCATCGATATCCAAAGACAAAAGCGCGAGCGTATAGGCTTCCCATGCAACCACAAAGCCGAAGTCGATGGGCGCCGCGGAGGTTGCCTGGGTAAAGTTTACCAATGCGAACCGTTTTGTTCGTGGTCACAATATAACGACGAATGGGCACACCTCTGGTAAAGCTCCGGTAGCCCTAACAAAGGCGTCGATCTTCTCCTGCGTTATCTGCGCAGAACCGTCAAAGTCATGAGTGGATATGACCAATGAAAGGAAACCTTCATTAAAATACCTGATAAGTGCACATGACTTTTGAAGCAAAGTAATCTTCACTCAAGTCGGCTTTATAGACTTTATAAAAAATACATGAGGCAGTCAACCCAAGAAAAAAGAAGCAGGGAAAACTTTCTCGCACTGCAGACAACGGTCGTCCAAGCCATAGCATGGAGTAGAAGTCAGCGATACGCGCGTTTTTGCCCGCAACGATCTCATGAAGGACGGCATTGCCACAAACCGGGGCATATTTAAAGTGTAGTTTCAAAGAAGAACTTCTTTTAGCTAAAAGAGTTTATAGAGCCAAGAGGTGCTACATTAGCACGGCAAGTTTGTACCTGGGGAACCAATAAGAGGGCCATAACACTCGCACAACTCATTGAAAACAACGTGCATAACCTCTTCATTCTCATCGTAGACGACAGTGAAGACAGGAGCGCTTTTTTCTGTGAAGCCATCAGCAGTGTACAGAAATAAGAGAGAAGTCAACGAGTACCCCGCCAGGCCGCCCCAAGTTGGCCGTCAAACAACTCTACGCTCTTAGGCAGGGCATTACCAGCAAACTTAATAATGACTGTCAGCTCTAATAGATGACCAATAGGAAGTGTTTAAAGCCTTCCAAAAAAAAGGAAGACTAGCAAACCTGGGCGGGGAGCAAAGAGCTCTGCTACGTAGTTGGGAATTCTGCGCGTTTGTCTGACAATATCCGGATTCAAGAGCAGCACGCTTAACCATGTGTGCGCTGCACCACTCCAACTATTGATTTCTAAGGCAAGAAAGTTCAGCCATTCAACAAGAGGTAGATCCTGGCGGATAAGATAAATAAAACCAATAGCAAACGTATAAGCGCAATGCAAGTACTTCGGTGGAGCGTGCGGGAAATGTGAAGCTAATAAAATCAGCACCGCGAGAAGTATTGAAAGTGCGGTTTATGGGCTGAAGAGGCGGTTTGGCTATGGGAGTCCCCCCCAGAAGTTGGACAACACTACTCTTATAGGATGACTTGCTTTGAGCAGCCAATGCAATGAGTCCCTGGTATATTTCATCAAGAATCTCTTTGACAGGTTGGTCGGGGACGCGACTATACCTCGCTGGTGCACATAAACAAGGATATTAAAAGTAAATCTCCAAGCAAGCAGAGTACATATGCACCTGCCACGGGCCCCTGTAAGATGCAGACGCGCTCTACATCTTCACCGAAAACGCACTCAAGATTTTCGGACTGCCACAAACTGTCCTTTTTATAATGAAACTTGAAATCTTCATCAATTACCGGAATGAAGGGAACTGGTTTCTGGCCTAAAGCGTGCTAGTGGATTAGCGTATACAACTAAGCAGCCACTCAGGTTGGAGCACCTCGTCTTTTAACCAATGCTAGAAAAAAATCTACATCCTGCGGGTTTATTAATTGCACATCCGCCAATGGAATGTTCGCCAGGAGTCCCAAGACATTTTGCAGTAATATGGATTCGTTATCTGGACAAAGATAATAGTGTGTAAGTAAAGTAAACAATAAATTTAAGGGCGCAGACATTCGTTTCTCTTTAGCAGGGCCAAAACTTGCGCAGTGTCCACATGACCGCCCAAACGATTCGCTGTTCTGCATATCATGTCGACCACTATAGAGACGTAGGACGGATGGATCCAGCGTTGTTTACTCGGGACGTATAAAAGCTCGAGAAGTCTAAGAATGACCTAACAGCAACCGAATAAGAAACGCTATAGGATGAAGAGAGAAGCAGCAAGTTCACCTCCGAGTAGGTCATCTGGTCGACATCCACTACACTCCCGTCCTTTTTCTTGCCGAAGTAAACTTTGTGTCCGTCCTTATTCAATCGGGATATCACATATTCTTTTTTGTCCAAAAGAATCTTTAGCTGGTCCTGAAGTAAAAGCAAAGGTAGAACAAGTCAAGAGAGCTGCAAGACAAAAAAATGTTACCTTCTTAGGTAGAGCAAATACGGTGTCGTCCAATTCCTTCCAGAGAAGGACTGCGCGGGTGGCGACTTTGTGTATGGGTTCGCCAAGTTCCGATAAAACCGTGGTAATGCCGCCCACAACTTCCTTATAGGATCTTCCAAAAAAGGAAATAAACCCAAAAGAACAAAGATAGTGATAAGCAAGGCGAGCCGTACTTCTCCCAATCACTTTCAACGGCAGAGTCAAGACCTTCGCACTTGTATGCAAGATACTCTTTGACTGCCGCGGAGGTTTTAGCCTCCTTTGCCACCATTACACGCGACGCCAAGAGGACGCCTGCGAAGAGGCGCAAGGGTTATTAGAGAGGCAGCATAAGCAGTGCACTATGCCTAAAATCCACCGTCAAAAGGCATGGGAGGGCACTCGTACCGTTTGCTCCAATCACCTGTTAAGTAAGGGTACGAACCAGTAGCGTCACCAAACCCGCTACCAGCCACAAGGACCACATTTTTCTTAATATTAGGATGAATTTAGCTCAATAGCTAATAAAAGAGCAAAAAACAGCATATGCACCGCTTTCCTGATCTCTTTATAGGTAATTAATATCGGCTGGTGGAAATCTTCGAAGCTGTGGTGCCCTCCGCCTCTTCCACCTGAAAAGAGCATGGTAAGTGCCTATCAGAATCAACTCTCTGAATATTATCGACCAGTCCACTGAAGCATAATCGGCATTTCCGGGTGGGCAAGGGCAATATTAACAACTTGACGGATGCTGCTGGCCGTCCCTATATAAGTGAGTCACAGATTATATATGCAGAAACTATAATTAAGCCAACTCACCAGGTTTGAAGGCCACGTGTCTAAGTCCCACTTTCTGGCACTGCTCGAGTATCTCACTGGCGTTTTCGGGACTGGGCACCCCAGCAGCAATACAAATGCCTTCGATGGGATAATTCTCCCTTTTCATTTGCTTTGCAAAATGCAGCAGTCAATATACATAATAAAATTAGCCAATCAAAGGGCTTACCAAAACCAAAGGAAACTGGAAGCTCCATTGCTTGATATTCAAATATAAAATGTTTACCGTAACCATCGTGCCTATTAACAAAAGTTTGTTAAGATACGGCAACAGCAAGAGCAGAACACCAACCGTGAGGAGTCGACTCCAGTACTTCTTCTATTTCGGTTTTTAACGACTCACGGCTGAGGTGACCGCCTCCAGCCAGTTCCACGTGGTAGCCGGCATCAGTGCAAGCTGCCACAAACTGTGCATTCACTGTGGTTGGAGTCATTCCTGCTACCATGATGGGCGGTTTTCCTTAAAAAAAGCATATTAGATAGTTCATTTCCTAAGTCTCGCAAAATTAAAAAAAGTCGCATGAAAAATGGATAAAGGAACCCAAAAGTTGGCTCATTTTGGTGTGAAGATGGTGAACACCACCATTTTCCAGTTTTACGAGTTTAGGCGCGTATTCCTGCTTCCAGTTTACGGGTAGAGGCAGCTGGCGAAGACTAAAAATATCCTTCCGCGCTAAAAAAACCGATCAAAGAGAGAACGGAGAAAAGGAGAAAGGAAAGACGCCTCTTACATAAAAATTCAGAATTGATAGAAGACTCCGCACTCATTATAACAACACAAGCGCCATCCCCATATTTCCTGCGGGAAATAATAGCACCAATGCCAGCAAGCCCGCCAGGGCCAAAGTCAAAGATATGCGTCGCTGTTTTTCAAAGTCGAAAAAAAAATTAGTTTGCAACATTTGACAGGTGTCTATTCACCAACCCGTGACCGAAGTTGCTTTCGGCCAATTTACGGGGCAAACCGAAATTAGACGGACAAGCTCTTTGGACAAGTCCGCTGAGCCACGCAGATCGGTACCATCTTCGGTACTGTATACTGGCAGTAGAAGGGATGAGGGCCTGGGTGAGGGAAAGAATCCAATAATAAAAAGCAGTGCCGCTCTTTAAAGCGGATGTACCAATGAAGGCCCTCCCTCTCAATGTCTTGATCCACTAGCCGAACTGCAGGTAGTACGTACGGGGAGTGGAAAGGAAGCTGGCAGGGTAGGTATTTGGCAGTAACCTTAGCCCTACGCTGAGAGAAGGGCATCTAAAAAGGAAGCAAGGATCTACTAACGCATGCAGGCGGAGCAGCTATATATATGCTACTCTGTGGAAGCCGCTTTCGTCCACCGTAAGAAGCTCTTCAATAGAGGCAAGGAACCCGTGGAGCAATTGGGGATGGCCAGAGAGAACAACAGACATTGGCCCGTTTATTAAGGAGAGGTATATTCGATGAGTTTCCGGCAGATGAGCATTAATCTCCCTCAACCGGCGTTCTACGTCGGCCACAGGAAGGTTCATTATGGCTAGCATGGGAGTGGGCTCTGAAAGATGCTACGAGCGAGGGGGCTAAACGAAACTTATTTGCATATACAAAGGCCAATGCTTACCTGCAATGCGCTGCCTAATGAAGCGGGAGGGGTTTTGGGAGGCGGGTAGACCTGGCGACCCCTAAAGCCAATCCAAAACAAGAGCTTAAGCACTCTAAAGGAGTTGGTGTGAAAATCTTCCAAAGTAGCAGAGGAACCCACGGCCACAGCGGAGGCAAGCCCCTGGCTGTGACCTTCATAAAAAGTCAAAAGAAAAAGTTAAAGGCTTCTTCCTTACGCCAAGCTTATTTTTAACCAGTTAAACCGAGAGTGTGTTTAAGCATTTCACCAGGAGAAATGTTTAAAAGTTTGATGAACAAGTAGTAATTGGCGAGCTGCACGAGAGCGATCAGCGGAGCGCTCACAAAGCAGGTAGTTAAATAGTCCTCAGAGGGAAGGCTAAGAGGATCGGTAAGCCATCTGTAGAGTAGATCGCGTATAAAGTGCTGGTCTCTGGATGTGTGCAGAGAAGTACTTGAAAACATCCATTCCCCGCGAAAAAAAACCAAGCGGCTCAACTTCAGGTTGCCGGGAACACGCCAATAAAACATGGCACATGTCTTCTATAAACGAGCGCGTCACCGGGTAATAAGTGTATACTTGTCGCAGTTCCTCAATAAGGCCCTGCACGCCTTGACCACCAAAAACACTAAAGAGAGTGCTCTAGAAAGTAAATGATTCAGTAAGCAACAACTATGACTGTTATTATTAATCCCACCTCGCCTCGAGAAAGAGACTCGAAAAAAGTACTGCTTGCGTACAAATGAGGAATTCGGTCGGTCTTTGATATATAATTGTTTTCAAGCAAAACTTGATAAACTTTATTACAAGTGTTTAAAACTTTCAAGCGATTGTGTGCATCCAGCTCAGAAAGTGCCTAGAAAACCAAGAAGTAATTACTTAACTATCAATAAATAAGGAAGACTCTTACAGAATAAAAACCACGAGAATTTGGATCAAAAAGCAGCAAAAATTGTTCATAAACTTCTTTTAAAGAATCAAGAAAACACGAATTTGTGTCAGGAAAGTTCACTAAAAACTGCAAAAATAGTTGACAAAGTTCAAGCTCCGAAGAAATTTCCTATTAATTAAAAAATAATACATAAAAATTTTTAAATGAAATAAAATTGAAAATTTATTATTAAGTATCCGTTCTAAAAAAGCCAAAAAATAATATAGTTAAAAGCACTATGCATAAAGGATAACCAAAAGCAAGCAACTAAATTTATATATATAAATGAGTGAGACGTAAACAAACAACTCAAGTAAATTTAATAAACCTCTTCCTCAAGAACAGAAAAGTCTTTTGACAACTGATCTAAAGTAAACCAAACGCTATCGGAAACGGGAAATTTAACTTCTAGTTGCTTACAAGTTAACTTAAAAAAACGGGGAAGATCTAAAACGGCTTTAACAAAAGAAATAATCATTAAAAACGTATATAAAAGCGAAGCTATCAAATATAATTACGGGAGGAAGCCGTGCACATCATAGCACCGATAAAATCTGTGATGACTAACACGCGTAAAACTATATTTATAGAGCTCTTCTCGCACCATGAAATGGTTTTGACGAAATTATCCAATCATAATCATTAAAGCACCGGTTTTTTGAGGTGAGGATAGTTAAACAGCTCTACTTAACTAATGGAAATGTAGGCATAATCATGGTCTTATTAATAAACCTCAGAAGCTTATTTTTATCAAAAACAAGATTTCTGATTAAAGCTGATAATTACTCAGTAATCACGTATTTAGATAACCTTGACATATAAATTAAAAAGGTATTAAATCTTAAAGGTTAAAGGGTTCCGTTTAAGCGTATAGTTCCATCTTCCATAAATTTTTCTTTAATGTATTTTAAATGGACTTTTTATTTTAAATTTTAACTTGCATAGTTAACCATTAAGTATTAATTATTATTGTAGTTGTACAGTTTTTTCTTTACAAATATCTAGTTTTGATACAAGCCTTATCGTTCTATAAAAAGAGGATATTGAAGTCTAATCAAAAATCCCTCTATGCTGCTTATAGAAATTAATATTTTCTGGGCCTCGTTCGATAAACAAAAATAATCATCAGAATTATATTTACATCTGTTGATTAAATGTATTTTGATAATAATTATGGTGAACTTCTCCTTGTAGTCCACGTATGAGTTTAAGGAAAAATTTATAGCCCTAAAGCTTATATATTAGCGCAACATTAATAAAATTATTAATCCTTTCTTTGATACTTTTAGAAGCTATCCGTGAACACATATCTTTCTTCGTTATAATTATCCTATAATTTACACTAATAAAAATTAAGCCCTCGTTTACTATGGAGCTTCCTTGAGGGCTATACAAGTTAATACGCTTGTTGTAATGCAAATCAATTTAATTTGCAGTACACATCTTCAAGTCACCCTTTTTAGTATTTAATTAATATAGTTACGACTAACTTCCGTTAAAGTTATAATAGTGACGCTATCAAAAGACCTCGGCACGAAAGACCTCTAACTCCTTAAAAAACCCGTTCCGTTTAACCCTGGTGTTAATAACGTTGACGTTATCTGCTTCTGTATTACGTTTTACTAAAGAAATTATTAGGATTAAACACCTCATGAAACTCTTAAAACCTTAAGTGTTTCCGATCACTTTTTATGCGATTATATATTTTATTCTTTTCTCAAAAGCGGTAGTTAAAACACCTTTTTATAAACTAAACGCCCGCTTGGATGCCTTTCTGCTCATGATGTTTTCTCAGTCCTGTAAATATTCTAGTCTTCTAGTAAATATTTCTTAATTTTTTTATGATATATCAATAGTTTCCTTTAAATGTAAGTCAAGTTAATTAAACCTACAAGTAATCCACCCCCATTTAGACATTAGAAGTCGCAGTGGGCCTCTCAGACACCTTGGATTTTAAATTTTTTACTTTTATAATAAAATAAAAAATACCCTAAATTTTTGAACACTCGTTGTTTATTGAGATATTAGGATACAGGTCACAATAAACTTTAACTTCTATCTAAATTGAATATTTAGAAAACAAAATAATTTCTAGACCTGTGAGACCCCCTGCGACTACCGTAGGGTTAGGGTCACGGATACACGGGGATAAACACGTCTCCAAAGTAGACATAAGTGAAACGTTGGGAAAGGGATTACATACTTTTAAAACCTAAGTCGTCATAAAAATATTTAAAGAGGCTAAAGGAAGAACTATATAATAACCCCCCCCCCTGCGGACTAGTAAAAAGAAATCGTTTACCCTTTGCGAATAAAAAAAAAGTGGCGCCTTCTTGTCCAACTCTTTCTTTCCAACTGTGCCAAGATTTCCAGGTCAAGAGCTACGCGTCTTGGAATTAAAATATTTCCGAAAACAGCTCAAGAATACCGTGCGATCACAAAGATAATGCACAAGCAAGAATTACAACATTTTACCTATCAATTAACTGAAGTTATTTCTGGAATTTATTGCGAACTCGATAACTCCACCGTCGAGGCGGGCCTGCGCGCGCAAGGCATTACACTCCTCCGAGTGGTACAGATGCACACGAAAGTCACTGTCAATGTCGAGAGGAAGAAGCGTCCGTTACCACTAGTGCTGGTGCATATACCCAGAACGGAGCGATAAAAGCTTTTAGAGATGAAGTTATTCCCCATCTTCATATCAAAATAGAAGAACTTCGAAAAAGTAGTCGCGTTGGCCAAAGCCACCAACTGCCAAACCTTTGGCTACGCTGCAAGCTTTTGCGCGGCGGTACCTCGATGCGTTAAATGCGGGGAGGGTCATTTGGTCGCAAAGTGTACCAAATCACGAGACTCGCCTGCTAGATGGGCGTATTATGGAGAGGCACATCCGCTAATTATCAAGGTTGCAAATATTATCCGCGTAGGGCAGCCAGCCATTCCGCAAAGTTTACTTCATGGCGCCGACTACAAACAATACTGTTATCCCGGGGCTCCCTTTCGCGGCTCGTTTTGAGGATAAAAACTCATCAAAGTTTACACAATACCCTTTATGTTCTAAAAGCCCCTGGCCACGCTTCTACTGTGAAAGCTGAAGAGTCGCAGCCTAAACTACGGCATATGTTAGCGATTTTAACGACGAATTTATCCAGCATGCTTGGATCTGTGAAAGGGCTAAAATCTGTTTGCAGCGGTTTCTAAGTGTAAGATGCATCGCCACATTCGGCTCCTGTTCTGATTGCAAATGGTCTTCAAAATAAGAGACATGAGTGCAGGAGCTTCTACTACGAGAAAGAATTGATGTGTGTGCCATCAACGAGTCGCACCTCCTCCCTAACGTCGTATTTAATTTGTACAACCTTGTCAAGTATCGTCAAGACAGAATTGATGCACGCTGCAGGGGTGTGTCTGCCTTGGTGAAACGGAGTATTCGACATCATTAGATATCTATGCCAGCTCTACAAGGGGTTGAAGCAGTTGGAAGTTCCTTATGTATGACCGACCAGGGGCCCGTGTTGGTAATCGCTCTCTACAAATCCCTTTGATAGCTAGTTTCACCTTCCGATATGGACGCTATCCTTGAGAGGACCTCTTCTGCTGTTTTGTGCGGAGGTCTTAATTGCAAGCACCCTACAAGGTACAGCCGAGTCGCTAACTCGAATGTTCACATCCTTGAAGTCGATGCTGATGAGGCCCGGGCTGTATGTACTAGGTCCACAGCAGCCAACACAAAAAATTACTTGACGACTACAGGCACAATGGGACCTACTGGATATTGCCATACTTAAAGACATACAATCACTCTACGACAATTGAAGCGCTCCACGAGCTGTCCTCCGATCACCTCCTAGTTATTTTCGATTTAGGGATGAAAAGGGCACACCAAAGAACGTTACCCGTATTTTTACCGACTAAGACATATATGCTAATGTCTTAAAAACCATGCTGCCGTCGTGCCCGCCATTACCATCCACGCCCGCTCTGCTGGATGATGCTGGAGCTCTTATTCGAAACCGCACTGAACATGGCTCACACTACCGCCAAGACAATTCGTGAAGTAACGATCGCTCCGATCGCCTGCCTGACGAACTAAAGGTGCTTATCTGCTAAAGTCGACGTCTTATTCGAGTAGTCATTTTTTCGCAGAGGGCCGAAGACAAACTTGCGCTTAATCGACTTTACACGTACATTAGAAAAAGCTAATGACCCATTTTAACAGTAAATGGGATGCCAAGCTGCACTAGATACTAGAATCAGCAGCAGTAGCCGCTCCTCCTTTTGGAAATTTGTTAAAAGGTTTAAAAATCGGGGGCTTGAAACATTACCGCCCTTCGTCAAGGAAATATAGTGACCGAAAGTGATGGAGATAAAGCTATGCTTTTCGCTAATGTTCTTGCTATCCAAAACGTGCCAGCTGCTTGCTATACTGCTAATGATGATGCGTTCCCCGGCCAAGTTTACCCCTCCCCGTTAACTATGAACCACTTAATCTAATTAATGTTGACGAGGTGCAAGCAATTGTCGAAGCGTTAAAGGGATGCTGAAGAAAAAGTCAGTTAATAGGGATGTACTACCTTTACCTCCTTATAAAATCCTCTATGCTCCTTGGCGCCTTTGCGATTCGATGGAAGACGGCGATCGTTATGATGCTCCCAAAAATACTTAAACCTGAATCAGCAACTAGAAAGTACCGACACATTAGCCTAATGTCAGCGACCGAAAAAGTGGGTGGGGCCTTTACCTCGCCGTCTTAAAGAGATGGCTGACGCTCGTAATACTTTATCGGAGTTTCAGTTTGGATTTCGGCAAGGGCGCTCAACGCTCCAGCAGCTCCTCCGCTTAACTTATGAACCACAAGAAGGCAAAAGGCGCTGCCTTCCTTGACGTTGAAGAGGCATTTGATCAAGTTTGGCATGAAGATCTGCTGCACAAACTAGGCTCGTTATCCGTCCCTCATGGTCTTTACCACGTGCTGAAATCATCTCTGAATGGTCGCGTCCTTAGTGCGCGCTTGGAAAATACCCATTCGCCGTTTTGATCTCTGACAGCAGGGGGCCCTCAGGGGACACTTCTCTCACCCCTTTCATTTTCAATTTACATGAGTGACGCGCCCTTACTGTTTGGCGCCGTGATTTGGAAGGTTACTATAAATGCGATGAAGAGCAAAGTTATATTAATTTCAAAGAAATGCTTCTCTTTGTCGATGCCCTTAACCTTAAAAGGCGTGAAGATGCCACGGTGTTCTCAAGCAAAATACTTGGGGATCATTATCAACAATAAAATTTTCTTGGAGGTCTTATGTGGACTATGTAGTGGCGAAGGAAAAGACAGAAAACAAGGAGCTTTATCTTTTACTTAGCGGTAAGAGTAACGTTTCTCTGCGTAACAAACGGCAACTGTATTTGTTTTATACCCAGCCAGCAATGACATAAGCAACTGTCGCTTGGACCTACGACGCCACAGCGAGCTTCGGCACTTCATGTGCGACAGAACATATTGCTGTGTGTTCTGACAAAAGCGCCGTGGTTTGAGTGAAATGAAGCTTCTCACCGAACCTTCAGCTAAACCCTTTACATATTGTATTCCAACGCCACACCGTGGGCCTTATCAAAGGCTCCACAGGCACACTACTCGCCTGCTGGTGAGCGAACTTGTTTACGAGTCTTGGGACGGGGCACATTATTGCCACCCACGTGACGCTCTTGAGAGCTAGTTTTTTTTTTTGTTAATGTAATGTAAAAAGATAAAGCTACCCCTGAATGCTATCCGTAATATATCTGCGGTCACTCCAGGTTGAAAGCTCGAGTGTTCGAAGTTTATAACTCGATCGAGCACCAGGAACTGCCATTAACAAATAAATAAACTACATAGCAACTTAAGTTAAATTAAATTGTTTATTACCTAGTATACATAAAGCGAGATACAAAATAACAATAACATTTTAATGACCTTAGTACAAAAGTTTGGGCCGAAGTTTGAGTAATAGTTAATGTTAGTAAATCTGGTATTTAACATTCTGTAAGCTCTACACCTAACAAAAAATTTGTTATTTTATGATTCGTAGAATAAGTATATTTATTAGCAGTTTAACTATAAATATAGTGTTACTTATTATATATAACGCGCACGAAAAATTTAGTTTTTTTTTGCGTTATATAATTATCTAATTTAAATTCCTTTGCGTATAGTTGTAAACATTTTCATTTTAAAAATCTACTTCAATATTGCAATAAAAAAAACACTCCCTGCAGTCTAGCTCGTGACGCCAGATTATTTACGTTGCAAAGCTGAGAACTTCCCCTCCTTTTTAAAAAATGTTCAATATTCATCTTATACTTTTTACATAATAAATTATTTGGGTGAATCATACAGTTTTTTTTTAAAAAGCAACAGTCATAAATTTTTTATGTCACATGTAGTTGAGGACTGACCATCTGTAGGCACCATCTTAGTCAAACTTTTTTATGGAATGCGGTGAGCGTCGCGTTTTTTTTTTTTGTTGCTCTTGTTGTCAGTGTTTCTGGTGGTGAGCAATTGATACTCAGGCGGCTCGAGAGCAGTCATAAATTACAGCTCTTAATTTTGTTTAACTTTATATTATAATTCTTTGTAATATTATATAATATATTACTCTCCTTTTGTTTATACCTTACTAGTTTTTGAAGTTTTCAAGTCTGTAAGATCAACATAAGTTACTTTATATATGTAAAATCGACCTCTTTATATAATCAACTTAAACTTAAAAGCTACTAATACACTACACAATTTATATAAAAATAATAATCAAAAATTACATTTTATTTAGGACTTAAATATTAATTCAGTACCAAACACATAATCCCAGAAAGGATTAGTAATTCCGAATCCTTTATTATAATTTTTATAGTGGTGATTTAAATGATAAGTCTTCCTCTCTCGCAAAAACTGTAAAAAATGGTTAATAATGTATTAACTTTATTACAAACAACTTAAATATCATTTTATATATAAAATAAGACAAAGCATTATTAAAGTAAACAATGATAAACACAGGAAAGAAGTTAAAAATAACCGTTCCTCGAAAATAACTCGAACTTTTTTAGCTAAATTTCTAAAATTTTCTACCTTAATTAAAAAAATTTAATCAAAAAAGCTTTATAACCCGACTTAATTACTATCCCATTAATAGTAAATATACTTTTACCTTATTAAAAGGTGCTCCGTGGTGCAAGTAAAAATGCATCATATCGTAAATAACGTAAGCAAAAATGGTGCCACTTCCCACGCCACAACAAAGTTCAAAGTTTAAAAATGTTCTATAGAATAGCCATATTGGAAGCGCAAGAGAGATAAACAATACAGGGGGCATCACCAAACGCTTTCTGATTAATTTAAAAATATAATAATAGCAACTCCAACGTGAAAAAAACTAAAGTGACTTGTCCATCGGCAAGAAATGGTGAATTCCATGAATCAGAAAGTGCAAAGATAGAGACACGGAATTATCAGGCAACAAAGCTGTTTTATTAAGCCATTTATGTAAAATCTAAATTTTATTTCAAGTTTAAATGAATAAGGTACAAAAGTTTATTAAATATATAATATATACAATTGCCAGCAACCTTCAATGTGAAATAAGAAACGGTGAATAAAGTACTCTAGAATAGTCCAGTGAAATACGCCAAAGAAAAATAAGATGAACGAATTGACTATACTGTATTTGTAAGTGCAGGCGTACAGCGTGAAACTCACAACTGGTAACCAAATTGTAGGTATTATATACCACGGAGTTTTTGTTAGCGGTTCCAAAATATTGCCAAATATTGTAGCAGGCGAACCTTAAATCATCATATGCATGTATAAAAATATTATTAATATACTAGTAGAATAATAAAAAGGGGAACCATCTTTAGTATGCCTAGCGATATGAACTTGTTTCAAGTAGTACTCTTTGCGAAAAGTGCAGTTCCACATTTGCTGCCAAAGTGGTTTACTCAAATCTAAAAACTCACTAAAACTTCTTTTTGAAACCAAATCTGAATTACACTCGCATTCTTTCTCAGCATTTCTGTTAACATAACCTGTTAAAACTTTTTTAAAAAATATTTTAAAAAAGTGTAAATATATTAAACCTATATAATATTTGTTTAATAAGTTGTAAGCGGCTTCAGAATGCTTATGACCTCCATCTTTCATAACTTCGGTAATATCTTTACCTGCATGCATAAGAAGCAGATCGGGTCCGCCAGGGTGATCCTGGGAAAATTCAGTAACATCGTAGGCCTTTCCTAATACAATTCTTGTTACATACAACTAGCATCTCTTTTTATATAGTTGTAAGAATATATTCTATTAATTTAATACCGTTGATAATGACCCATAAATCGTCAGCTGTGCAATGGTTAACAACTTCTTTATCACTAATCATAATTGTTAGCGCTTTTTATAACTATAATTGTCTTTACTAATTAGAAATACCGTAAAGGTAAAAATGTTATATAACTTAATTCGGATTAATTTTTAAAAATAAAAATACTACCAATATTAAAAAAAAAGAAGCAGACCCAAATCTAGAGTAATGACATTCTCTAAATCTCATGAAAATAAGAATTTTTTAAGAACGAATCAACATTTATAAAATTCTAGATTAATGGTAAATTATAAAAACAGCATTTTTATAATCCAATCAAACAACAAAGCTTTACAGATAGTTAATACTGTGGTCGATAGCGAGTTATAACAGTGAAAATTATGGTTATTTTAAAATTTTATTTGATGGACCGTCTAACCATATTTAGCTCATCTATTTTTTACCTACTAAGCAAATTAGATGCAACTGTGTGCTTACATGTTTTTTCAACTAGGCCGTCACTTAACACTTTTAGCAATAAAAAAAGTGCTTACATCTGTTTTAAAATTCACAAGTTAACGCTACAAAGGGCAAAGTTCTTCTTTTAACGGCTAAAGTATAAGTAACAACTTTACACTTCTTCATACAACACAAAATGACGCCATCTTCGTACGCAACGTGAACATACTGGTTTATATCCGAGTGGATGGGTTTAGATATCTTTTATGATAAATAAATAGCCTTAATTACATCTAGAATTCATAACGTGGCGAGGGGCTGTCTCCTGTGTATCCATGAACCATTTTTGCTTTCTTTTAATTTTTGATATTACCTACTTTTTATCACTCTTCGCGTCATTATTACGACAAGAAGCGCTAAATTAATAAAAAGAGGTGGTCCCCTGGAGAGTAAAAATTATGTTAAATTCGGAATATTAATTAAACTAAATTGGCAATCCCACACTATCTACTTTATGTTGAAGGCGAAGGGTATTACCAGAGCTCTTTATTTCTTTTATGCATAAGAAGTATCTATTAAACAAACTGATATTATATAAAATCTTGGCTTATGTATCATTGGCGAAGGCCAACTTGGACGCCAGTACTAAAATAGACTACGAACTCCACAAAACAACTCATTTGATCTAAATAATTAGAAAATATATATTATAAAAAAACATAAAAAAAACCTTTTTAAAAAAAGCAGCAAAATGAAAAAAAAACACTTATTTTAAATCACTTGTACGTGTGATATACGGTTAAATGGTTATGTCTTTTAGTCTTTAATCTGTTATATCACGTAATGAATCAAATATAAAGTTCTCGGCTCTTCCCCTCCAGTCTTTGGTTTTCCACTCGATTTTCCTACATTATAATTACTGATAGACTGAGGTATCTGAAACTGACGACTGAGGGGTCAAGACCTGAAGGTTAAAAATATAAAATTTTGGGCAGCTTGCTTTAGCAAGTTCTTTATATATTTATTGGAAAATACGAGACAGAAACAATGAGTTATCACCAGCAACGGCAGTTGCCTTAACATCATCCCGGTGGCCCCTCTCTGGGGCGGAGCTTTGTTTAGAGAGAGCTTTGACCAAAACTCCTGTATGTCTGTTTTGATGGAAGACTTAAACAGTACATATTATGGCAACAACATCATTTAGCGCTCTCTAATACCTTTTTAAATTAATCCTTTTACTTAAAAAATTTTAGTTCGAGGGTACTAGTATAGTTGACACCGTCAAATTCCTACAATAAAATATTAACCTTATTTAGTTGTAATGAGCATTCAAATAATCATCTCTTTTTTATTAGAATTTTTTTTAAGTTGTACACGTTAACCACCAGACAAAGATGCAAGTTGGCACCGACAGGAATAAAACCGCCACCTAGAGATTGCGCAACAAATCTCTAACCACTGAGCTACGGTGACAACTCGCAATTTCAGTCAATAATTTACGTATACAGCTTTTGTTACTCTTCCTGAAGGGTATAAATTAAACTTCCTCCAGGATTAAAAGTATTTTTTGTTGTTCTGGATTATTGTTCTGCGATCTTCTTAATTCTTTTTCTACGACCTTAGTACCCTTAGTTCCCTGGTTTAGTTCCTTTGTTTCTATGATCTAGTTCTACGTTCTTTGCTACCTTGCTTAACGGTGGGTCCTTTTATCTAACATCAGTTACTCTCTATAATTTATTACTGCGATCACACATTTTTGCGCTTTTTACTTCATAGGACCTTATAAATGGCTTGACTATAACGATACCTTCGCACACACCGAGCAGCGCCGTTTTATATGTAGTTTTTAAGCGTGAGATATCCATAGGGAGGTAGGGCGGGGCATAGTGGTAAATACTCGCGCATCTTGTATAAAAAAATACACTGTTAAAAATAGTCGCTAACAACGTCGCCTCCGATATATGGTTCATAGGCGGTTATGTTAATAGCTCTTTCCTTATGTACGAATGCAGCCAAATAAGACCTAATTTGTCTTCAGTTAATAAGGCAGGTCGTTAAGGCGATATTAGACTTCATGAATTCTCTTAGAGATACGGTAATCCTAAGACATCCCCTCAGGGCGGATGTTGTTAGTAGTGACGATCGTGATGAGAGAGCCATAGTCCGTAAAGATTTAAGTGGAACATCCACTTTTTTTTTGCCATCCTCATCTCAAGTTGAACTGGCAAGTGGTCCAATAACAGTTTATTAAGAGTCTCAAGTGTCAATAAAAGATAATCCAATTTTAAAGTTACGGTATTATACATGCTGGATGGATTATGTCCCTGTGCGATAAATATAGTGGCCCAAAAGGCGTAGGCCGCGTTCGCCAGTGTAAGTTTAAAAGCTACTGCCGTTTGTTTCTGGCGCGCCTACTCTGCTTGGCGCTTGCAGTTAAGTTTTCCGCAGAGAACAACTAAAAAGCTGTTTAGTAGGGGCGTCAAGTCTGCTCTTTAACGACTTGACTGGCAAAGTGGAGGGAACCCCAATAGCTGCAACGCTTTGCAGGGGTAATAAAGTTATTAAGTTGCTTTGCATGCTTCTGTAAAAATTAAATAAAACTATGGAGGCACAATAAGTGTTGCTAGTAACAAAATATATTTGTTCAAGCTTCATTATGATACGACTTAAAAATCGTAAGGGTTCTATGAAGATAATAAAGCGCGATAAAATAACAGACGGGAATTAAAAGTATAATAAAATGTAAAATAGACTATTAGGCGCAAGTTATTATATCGGAATAATTTATGAAACAAGAAAACTGCGAAAGAAACTTAGTAAAAAAGAAGGTTAAAACCAGAATCAAGATCATCTTAAGGGAGGTAAGACGCACTTCACTACAAAGAATATAACAAGAACCAGGTTCTCCACCAGGTGCGAACCTTTAATCTAAGAGTTGACCCCAGGGTAAGTGAAAATTAGGTGCACGAGATATGAATGTAAGCTCCATCCTAACACATTAACTCCTGCCGTTCATGCCAAAGTTGGAAACCTTTGCAGATAAATTTAAGGCCTTTTAAAATTGCCCAAGTACTATGGCGTACAAGTTTTGCAGGGCCCCTATACAAATTACTAGAACCAAATTGCTCAGCGGTCCAAGGGTCTGAACTTTGCACCTTTTCTGGGGCCTTAATCTAAAACACTTCCTGGAGTTGCTCCTAGGAAAGTTTAGTTTTCGAAAGCCAATATTTCACCTATTACCCTCTAGATTTTTATAAACCAAGAACTTTTTTGATTCTGGGAAGTTTATTCTTGCACTAACAAAGCATCAACCTCAAGTCTAACGAAAACTTTGTAAGGGTCGTTTACCTTTAATTGTGGTCTATATCTGTCAACGAATTATTATTTTTCAGTGATAGGTACGTCTATTCTACGAGGCGAGCCTAATAGTGAAATGAATTGAGAAAATGAACCCAGATTTTTTCATTTATTGCTGAAGTTTTTAGTTAAATTTATAAACTGAGAAACTAATTTATTTTCTTTTGCTTTTTTATAGAGGCTTTAATGGCAATGAGCTTTTACTTATATATTTTATTGGTCTATCTAGGTTACAAGACGTTATGATAAATGATTATTATAACACAATCCCCATAATATCAATACATATTTCATGTGTTTGCTTGAAGGGTTCAACAACGAGCTAAGTCATGAAGCTTACCTTTTACAATGGAATGAATGGTACAGATATTTCTCTCGCTTTGAGTAGGCAGGGTTTGCCTTAAAGTAGTATTGTTATATTTGGCGTGGCTTTCTTACTTTTAAATTGTTGCGAGAATAACACATTGATACTACTGAGCTCTTTTATCGCGCCAATAAAAGGGCGTAGTCTCTCCGGCAAACAGGGTGAGTGATCGTGCTCTACCGCCTCATGAGAAATGTAATGCAACCTGACCTTAAAAGTTCTTTGGGCTGGATCTAAACTGTAATGACCAACCTTAACGCTCGTGTGTTCGTCAACTTACGTAATTGAATCAAATTATTAGTATTCGGATCCTTATTAAACTAAATATTACTATTGTGAGATACATGTGCCGCTCTTTTGTTCCCTTTGCTCTTGCAATATTTTTTATTTTAAATTTATTTACAATAACCTCTCTATTTTTAGTTCATTGTTTGCGTACTATTGATATCTATATTTTTATTTTCTTGTTCTCTTTTAGCATATCTCTTCTTTATCGTTAATATATAGAAGGATACACTTAATCTTATCTGATTTCTCTTATGAGAGATTTGAAGATTCCGAGAGCTTGATTTTGTTAACAATGAGAGTGAAAACGATAGTTTATAATAAATTTTTTGCTTTTATAGCTCTTAATTGAAAAATGATGTAAAGCAGGTACTTCATAATAGAATTTATTTTAATATGTTGACAGTACCGTTTTACTGATTTCCACTACTTTTTTTATAATATTGTTTTTAAGTTTTTTCGCCTCATATTTTTTACATTGTTTGGTTAATTTTCACTTGAGTAGTTTAGGTTTTCTTGATTGAAACTTTAATTTTTTTTACTTACTAAATAATAAAATTTTATTTAAATATGAAATTAAACAAGGAAATTATAATTCAGGAAGTTTTTTTTTTTGGTTGCAGACGCTTGAACTTCATATTACAAATATATGAAATTAATTT